GGTTATTATTTAGAAAACAAGTTTTTTAAAATGTTTACTTCAACTGCCAAAACGCAATTAAAAATGTGAATAGTGATTATTTTATTTTTAACAATAAGCAAACTATTCAAACACAACATTTTAAGAAATATTTTTTTCGAAATTAAATAAAAAAAACTTTTATTATTATACATATGGTTTTTAGCAAATGCTTTTACAAAATTAAATTAACAACGTTTCTCATGATTAATTTGTTTTTATTACACATTTTAATATTATTAATAAACTTATATAAATAAATAAAATTTTATTTAAATTACCATTTATTGTTTATAGAAATTTGTGCTCTAATTTCAACAGAATTACACAAGTTAACATTAAAAAATGAGTTTTTAATTGAAGTATAACTTTTATTATTTTGTTTTTAACAATAAGCAAACTTTTTTGTTTAATTAAACAAGAATCTTTAACATAAACTTTTTATAAAAAAGTTTAATATAAAATCAAGTCAACCATTATTTTCCATATTTTCCTCCCAAATTTTTAGGACAAGCACAAATTTTTACTCTCGTAACTAAATTAGCAAGCATTTTTTATCGTGCCTGCAATTTATAAATATTCCGTTAACGAGCGTGTTTCACGTGATGGAGCGATCGCTCACTCTTTATGCCAAGGCCTGCAATGTATACTAGGGTGATGCAAAAAACATGACCATCTCAGATTTTTTAAGAGACCCCTTTATTTGTTTTAACTTGTTATAAAAACATTCTGTGCAAAATTTTAGGTCAAAGTAATAATATTTAGGGGGTTAGCCGGCCAATTGGATATTTATATATTTAAAAAAATTTGATTAAAATCATGCTTTATAAGTTTGTTTTACACAATTACTAATAGGCCAACAAGTTTTAACTCTTGTTGATAATTTTATATTGCTTAGTTTGAGCCATAGGGGTGACAAGATCTAATTAGGATCAACCCCATAGGCCCTGTAATGTTTTGTATTCTTATTTATATGGAAGAGAATTTATGATGGTTTTTGTTTAAAAATATTTATAAATCTATATATTTACAACTTTTTACATAAATTGTTACAACTAGTTATATATAAACTGTGTGTAGTCTTCTCATGTCATTATTCCAACTCCTATTGAGTTCAATTGTGTAGTCTTCTCATATCATTATTCCAACTCCTATTGAGTTCAACGGTATGGCTTTTAAGTGAGAATTCCTCGTGCAAAATTAGTTTCTTAAGGGAATACTTTCTCAATCAGTTTTTAAGTAACTCTCTATAGAGAATTGCTTTTTCCGCAATCTCTAATCATTATTCTAAGCGAGCTTTAGAAATAATTGTCCAGAGGGATTTGTTTTCGTAACAATCATTACCGTCCTTAACATTAAAAATAATTATAATTTTAAAATTTTTGAGTAAAATCATGTTTTATGAGTTTGAATTTTTCTGCTTGTATTATTACTTATTACTTGCTGTTTAATAATTTTTATATAAAATGGAAATAAGAAGTGCAACAGATATTCGGCTGATAGATCAGCAAATAGATAAATTGAATCCAAGTTGCCTATCATTAAAAAGAGAAGTAATCTCTTTACTGATGACTTTAAAAATGTCTGCAAAGAAACTGACAGAGAAGCATTAACTTCTACTGTTGATGATGTATTAGAGATGTGGAAGAGAGCAGGAATAAAGAGCAGGAAACAGAAAAAGTGTATATGAAAAGATCACGTGAATTCTATTCATTAGATAAAAAAGTAATTGTTGCAAGCAGCAACAGTTCCTGCAGTAATTCACCTGCATCTACAGACAAAGAAAAAAACCTTGAACAGGAATCAACATCAAAACGAGGCACTACAAGAAAAAAAAAGATTATGGATGAAAACTTGCTTTCTTCATTAACTGTTGTCAAGATCAGTGATCAGCCTCTTTAATTCTAACAATCGCAAATCTGGGAGAAGATCCAAATAATTACAATGTGAGCTATTCATCGATACGAATGGCAAGACAAAAATCAAGAAAAAAATTTGATGAAAATTTGAAAGAGACAAACCATTGTTTGTTCATTGGGATGGCAAACACTTGAAGACATTGTTGGCAATAAGATTGTAGATTAGTTGCCAATCCTAATATATGGCAGTGGAGATAATCAATTGCTTGGAGAGCCAAAATTAGATCATGGTACAAGAAAGGAGATTGCAAATGCAGTACATCAGTTGATCATTGAATGAAATCTGACAGATAATGTAAATGGCATGTGCTTTGACACAACTTCATCAAACACCAGTCAAAAAAAACAGAGCTTGTGTCTTACTTGAATGGTGTCTTTGTCAACATCATATCCTTGAAATCATGTTAGAAGCAGTGGTATCCAAAGCATTGTCAGCTTCATCAGGCCCTGACATTCAGTTATTTAAAAGATTTAAAAAATAACTGGAGTAATATTGATCAAACATTCGATAAATTAGACATTTATCTACATAAAGAAAAGGAAGAAATCATACAATTTACAGTAAAAAGACTCAAAAAATATCAACCTCGCAACAATTACAAAGAATTATTGGAATTTTCATTTATATTGCTATAGCGATACTCCAAAAGCTGGAATTAAGTTCAGAAAGCCTGGGGCTTATCACAGAGAACATTGGATGGCAAGGTACATTTATTCCGTGAAAATCTGAATGTTCAAAATTCAGTTTAAAATGAAAGGTAAAGAAGAAGAAAAATTAGAAGAAATTTGTCTACTTTCTGTTGCAATATACATTTAAGCATTGGTTTTTGGCTTCCCATGCAATAAGTGTTCCATGAAATAATCTCCTTAAGATTCTTGACAGCTGCAAAAGTATAAATGAACAATTAGCAAATGTTGCACTTGGCAAATTTAAAAATCATTTGTGGTATCTCTCTGAAGAGTTGATTGCATTGGCTTTCTTTGATGATGAAGTAAACTTTGACACCAAAAAAAAAATGAAGGATGCTATTACAAAACCTTCAGAAACTCCAAAGAACCTTGTCCTCCAAAGAAGGCAAAAATAGATATTAAAACTATTGACTCGAAGCAGCTTAAAGATTTTGTAACAACTAACACAAATTCTTTTTTTAGTACACTTGGATTGTCTTCAGCATTCTTAAGCAAACCAGTAGAAGATTGACCTCTCAATGTTAGTTATTTGAAAGCATATAATGTAGTAAAACATATGAAAGTTGTTAATGATATTGCTGAAAGTGAATTTGATTGAAGATTACAACAAATTAATCATCAATGATAAGCAACAGAAACAATATCTATTACAAGTTGTATCAAATTATTGGAGGAAGTTCCAGGACAAATCTAAGACTAGTATTTTATCTTTGGCACAAAGATAAAACCCAAAGTATAAGTTTTATAATGTATTATGTTATAAGATATTTTTTTAAAATTTCCATTGTTTTGTACTTTGTTTATTAGTAAATAGAAAATAGGAAAATGGTTTTTATAATCTTAGCAGAAAACTTCCACTATAAAAAGTGAAAAACTGCTGCACCTCCCGGGTCTAAAGGGAATCAGCAAATTTCCAAAATATGATTTTACTCAAATTTTTGAATTTCTACAATTTTCTATTAGCTGACGCACCCCCTAAATATTATTATTTTAACCTACAATTTCGCACAGATTGTTTTTATAACAAATTAAAACAAATAAGGGGGTCTCCCAAAACTTTTGATTTCTTTTTTACCCATAGTTTTCAACTTGAATTGAGCACCTATTTTATTTTAAAAAAATAGGTGCTCTTTTTTACAACAGCAAAGTCTTGAAAAATATGAAAAAACAATTTACAAATACTTTTAGCCTTAAATTATTTTAAACTTAAGATGTACTTATAGCACAATTGTGGCCAATGTTGATACAGATGCCGAGGGATGGGAAAAGATTGATACCGATGCCAATACCGATCAATTAACTAATTATCATAATTTTGAAAATATAAAACCATACAACTTAAAATCGTGTAAACTTTTTCATGGAATTAATACTGGTAAACAAATATTTGGACCCAAATCAGACCCAAACCATTATTTTAAAAAATATTAGAAAAACTCAGTTTAAAAAAATATACATTTTTTTTTTTTTTTTTTTTTTTTTTTTTTTTTTTTTTTGCTATGAAAAGAAAACTTTTAAAATAATAAATACAATTTTTGAGGAACACTTTTTATTTCAATTTTAAAAAGAAAATGATACTGAGATGAGCAGTTTACTCAAAATTCTTTATTATTTATTATAATTTTATACTTGAACACATATAGATAACAATGCATAAATAAGTTACTTTTAAGTATAACAATAAAATAACTCAAAATAAAATTATTCTAAAAACAATATGTTAATAAAAGTATAAGTAAATTCAGCTTTCAAATTAAAGCATATAATTTTAGGAATAAGAAGAGTAAGAATAAACAAATTTGCCTGTAATCAAAGTCAAGATAAACAATTTCATTGTTTAGTTTATCATGTACCGTCACACAACCACGAATGTGTATTAGTGAAACCATTTATCTAATTTTCTTCAACAAGTTGTTTTACCATCAGTAGGTTCATCATGAAGATTTCCTGGTTTTTCCAAGCCTCTTGATGAATCTACTGATGGTGAAACAACTTGTTAAAGATAATTTGATATGTGTTTTTACTAATTTATTACTGTTCTGTTCTTTAAGAACATTGAGCACTCTATTTGTAGAATACACTAGCATAGTTTATATGTATATGTATATGTATGTATATATACATATATATATATATATATATATATATATATATATATATATATATATATATATATATATATATATATATATATATATATATATATATATATATTAAAAGTTATAATGCAAACTTCATTTTTATCATAGCATCAATTTTTCAATTTTTTTATTAATTTTTTTTTTCTTTTGTATGTGTGTATTTATCATGTTTAAAATGATTAAAAAGGGTTGTAAATGTCATAAAAAGATTAAAAAGGATTAAATTATTTAGATGGCTGTTTTTATGCTTTAAAACGATCAACAAAACCTATTGCTGGATCATTGGATGAGTAAGTCTTTAATAACATTGTATTCCATTTTTTAAAGATATAATTTATGGGGGTAACTAACCATTGTTCATTTTTTATGAAAAATTAACAATAGTTTGTTGCCCTTTGTTAGCAGGTCTCAAGAATGGTTCGAGGATAAACGATGTCCGATCATTAAATTGAGCCATGAGTAATGATGCTATGTGGTTATGGTGTTATATAATAATGATGCTATCTAGTAATGATATTATGTAGTAACGATAGGATATAGTAACGATACGATTTAGTAATGGTGCTATGTAGTAATGATTAATTATCAATAAATTTCAACATAAATCACTTAATAACAGACCTAATTTTTTAGTATTTTTTTTATAATCAATTGTTGAGGGTTGTAAAGCCAATAAAAAAAGAGTAGCATCTATGAATAAAGTGGCCCCTCAGCAATAGAGGTAAATACAATTTAAAAAATAATACAATAAACAAAATTTTTACAGCTTTTCCAATTTCACTGCCAGTATCCAATAAAAATGAATGTTGTTACAATCAATTAGAACTAACAGTAGCTTGAGTAACTAACTCAAAATTTTAACAGCTAAAATTTTTTTTTTTAATTTTTTTTTTTCATTGATAGTTGTTTATGTAACTTGCCAAAAACTAAAGTATCTGATAATTATTTCAGTGTATATATATTAATTTCAGTGTATGTATAGTTTATTATATCATTAACTTAAAGAGATAGTTATACAATTTAGGATTGATACAGTTTTCAATCTTTCACAGGAAGACGTACGATCGTACGTCTTTATATGACCAGACAAATTACACTTTGCTTTGACTATTTGACCGCGGCTATTTCAAAAAACATTTTAAAAATGCGCTGGATGAAAAATATTTTGAATTACGCCTTGAGTGAAATAAGTTACAGCAAAACTTCTTAACAAATGTTTTTATGTTTGCGAAACGCTTTTTTTTAACAATTTCTTGATAATGTTTATTTTTAAAAGTATAATTGACAGTTGTATATATTTTTTTAATTTATAATATAAATTATTTGCTTTTTATATAATAATCGTTATTAAAAAAAAAGAATTGTTTTGTTTTTATTAACGATGACATTCTACGACAACAAAAGTCTCTTTAACGAAATTTTAATATCATTAAAATTAATTAATTTGAATAGATAAACAAAATTTTGTTGAAAATGTTTTAGAAATCTGTTAAAATTAAATAAGTTTGATCTTAAATGCTTTTATACTATCAAAACGCTTTTTAATGAAGTAACAAAACACTTCCAATAAATTTTTATAATAAGTATTAATAAACTGTTGTTTTTTTTTACTCATATAATTATGTATTTTTTATAATAAATGTTTATCTTTTGAAATATATTTTTTTAAAAAACAATGTACAAATGTTAAAGCAAAGAATGAAATGGTTTTTTAATGCGTAAGTTAAATAGACAAAGCATTTTAGTTTGATGAGTTTTGTTTTAGTTGGGTTACACACACACGCACACACACACACACACACACACACATACACACACACACACACACACACACACACATATATATATATATATATATATATATATATATATATATATATATATATATATATATATATATATATATATATATATATATATATATATATATATATATATATATATATATATACTGTGTGTATTTTTGCTTTAGTTAAGAATTTTTTTTCTTTTCTCATTTGTTAAGGTTTTCTTTTCTTGTTTAATGTTTTTATTTACATAAGTTTAATAAGTTTTTGTAGCGCATTTTTAAATTTTAAAAGTATGTCAAATACCGTCGTCAAAGCTAAATGTAATTTGCTTGGTCATATAAAGACGTGCACGTCTTCCTGTAAAAGATTGGTTAAAAACTGATAAAAATTTAAGTAAGTGTTTAATTGAAATTATGCAAAAATACTAAGTTATTAAATATAAGTGCATTTTGTTATTCAATCATGTGAGTAGTAAGGTTATTTTGAATCTTATTTACAAAGCATTTTGAATTGGTGCTACTGCAACTGAATAAAAATTTTAAATTTTAAAAGTTGCTTATACCTTGAACTAAATAGATAGCCTAATTGGTAGATAGCCAGACTAGATAGCCAGGTTCATTCATTATCACTAGTATTTCCATTAATGCTTTGTGAAATAGGTTTGTGATAAGTTGCAGACTAAACTACTAAATTATTACTTTATCAACTACTTTAAAAAAAAACTAGACGAATAAGAGTTTCTGGAGCACTTAGGAACTTTAGCAGATGCTAATTTTGTGATTGGTTTGATATATGGTTTCAATGAAAGATCGGAGGTAAAAGTTAATCCTAGAAGTTGAAGGGTAGATGACTCATCAAGTATATTACTGTTCATAAATATAAAAAGAGATTATTGCTGTGTAGAGTTTTATCTGAATTAAAGTTCACTAGCCACTGGTAGCCCCATGCTCTAGCAGAAGTGAGATCCTTTTTAATTTTAATACTACAATTAGAAAGGAAAGATTCAATAATCTTAAAGATTACCTGATACACCGTAAGAAAAAAGCTTATGGAGCAGACCAGCATGCCAAACTTTAGCAAAAGCTTTAGAAACGTCATGAGCAATAGCCTTAACCTCTCCACATCTATCTAATGCACAATAGGATCTATCAGTTGTTACTGTTAGAACCCTCAGAAAAGGAAAAATGAAGTTGGCAATAATTATTGCCGATCTCAATCTTTTACAGGTCAGAATCAGGTCGGCAAAAAAAGGTCATACCATAAAACATAAAAACAAGGTCTGCAATTTTTTGCCAACCTCAAACACTTTAAGGTTGGCATTGCCGACCCTAATTCCGAGGGTTACTGTTAGCAAATCAGCTGTAGAATGAGAAGATCGAAATCCATATTGGTTATCAGAAAGTAAGTTATTAGATTCATGATGAGAGAGTGTTTGTTAATTAAAGATTCAAAAACCTTGCTTACTATAGAAAGAAGACTAATAGGATGGTCGTTAGATGAGGCACTCTCCAGAGTTTTTGAAAATAGGGATAGCAGACGCCCATTTTCCAGCAGGCCAGAAAACAAGACTTTGATAAGCCTTTGTTAATTAGTTTTGAAAGTATAGATAACAGCTCCGGAGAATATTTCTGCAAGAATATAACAATCTGTTTGTCAGCTATGTCAGGTAGAACACAACTAGCTTATCAATTCAGGTTTGTCATTAGGTGAGGTGACAAATCTAAACCATACAAGAGAGGTGGAATAACAGATATGCCTTTATTATTGATACTTTTGAAGATTCTTTGAAATGAAGTACAAGATTTCCTGACCTGAGAATAGCGGGCTTTGGCGTTAGACAAAATCTTTTTACGATGGTTTCTAGCAATAGTAAACAGGCGTCTGTTTTCTGGAGAATTATTTTGCTGATAGATATGGAAGTAATGGTTTCAATTGGAAATTGCAGCAGCATGATTTAAGGAAATTATGGAGTGAACCAGTGAGGCTTGACTTAGAATCATCGAGAATAAAAGATTCCAATTCCAGCGTGAATCCAAAAAGTTACAAAAGAAGCACATTAGTCAGCAGGAAGGCAAAAGATTTCTACCCAAGGGCCATCACAAAAAAAATCACGGAAAGAGTTCTAGCCAGCTTTAAGTCAGTTGTAAGATGTACGATGATAAGAAGAGTCTGATGATAAAGAAGAATAAGATAATAGTTTTAGAGAGACCAAACCATGATCGGAAACACCTAAGGGTGAATGTGGAGAAACTGAGTACTGACTAGGATCAGAAACAAGACATAAGTTGAGTAGAGAAGGTAAATGATTCCGGTATGTCTGGAAAGCCAGTTAGAAAGTTGATTATTTAAGTTAGGAATTGAGAAAGGCAAAAGTTATGGGCTTTAAAGCCTCCATAGTCTCTGACACTAGACCCAAGCCATTCAGTTTGATGAGCATTCAGATGATGCTTTAAAGTTACCAACAACAATGATATTGGCTGATGGATGAAAAAAGAGGGTCTTGTCAATTTGATCAGAAATAACATCGAAAGAGTGCTGTCTTGAGATGAAGGAGAGCGATATAGCACAAAGAGAAAGGGGGTAGAGTGAAGTGGTGCTAAATGAAAGCACATAAAAGAAAAGTCAGTGGATTCAAACCTAGTTTCTTGATAAATTAGTGAAATTTTACAAATGTTAATGCCCAGACCAAGCATGTGACTATTGGAGTCTTTATGAATTAAAGGAAGATAACTATCAACACTAAGATCACAAGACCAGTCAGCAAAACTCAGATTAGTTTTGAAAAGAGCAAGTAAGTCTGGTGAACTTAGCAAGAGGTAACACTCAGAAGATAAGTTATTTCAAAGACCATAAATATTAGTGAATAGTAGGTTCAGAGAACTTGGTGATGATGATGGTTTTTTATGCTTTATAGTTTTTGGCACTTTATTAATTTTTAAGTTTATTCTAGAACTTGACTAAAGCACACATAGTACTCTGTATGCTATTTAATAGTCCAAGTAATTGCCTCATTACTCTTAACAATTCCTAAGCTTTGCCTAAAAAAGCGTATACTACAAGACAGCAGGAAATGAAGCTGGTTGTACTTGGTTACATGTTGCCAGCAGCAGGATAACCTGACCTGACCTTTGATAAATAAAGAATAGTGGTTAATGTCTGAACATTATCTAAACTGTTATTGAATTTATTTTTAAATCTGATTAAATTTTATTATAAGTGTATTTTTTGTGAGAAACAATTTTACAATACAGCATTTTATATATATATATATATATATATATATATATATATATATATATATATATATGTATATATATATATATGTATATATATATATATATATATTATATATATATATATATATATATATATATATATATATATATATATACATATATACATATATACATATATATATATATATATATATATATATATATATATATATATATATATATATATATATATATATATATATGTATATATATATATATATATATATACACATATATAATATATATATATATATATATATATATATATATATATATATATATATATATATATATATATATATATGTATATATATATATATATATATATATATATATATATATATATATATATACATATATACATATATACATATATATATATATACATATATATATATTATATATATATATATATATATATATATATATATATATATATATATATATATATATATATATATATATACATATATATATATATATATATATATATATATATATATATATATATATATATATATATATATATATATATATATATATATACAGTATGGTGCAAAACTGAACCAGAATGCATAATATTTTTATTTTCTTATAAAGAATTAAGCATTTTGAGAATTAATATTGCTGGTAGGAACTATTATTAAAAAAACAATTTTTATTAAGTATTTATTGAAGAAAAATATTTACTTACAAAATAATAAATGAAAAACATGGTGAATCACTTTTGCACCACGATAAAAAAACTGTCAATTTTTGTCAATTTTGTCAATTTTTAATATTTTGTCCTTAATCCTTTAGCTTTTTTAACTGCTGCTAATCTTCTATTTATGCTCTTTACAAGATTTTCGCAAAGGTTTAACGAAATATTTTTCCACTGTTCTTGAACTCGTTCATATAACACATTAATGGATGATGGAGGGTCAGAATAGTTATTAACGAGGGCTTTTTTTAATTGTGACCACAAATTTTCTATTGGGTTCAAATCAGGACTTTGTGCTGGCCATTCTAGCACCTGAAAGTCCTGCGAAGCTAACCAATTCTTAACCATTTTAGCAGTGTGCTTTGGGTCATTGTCCTGTTGAAAGATGACCTCATTTATTGGGTAAGGCATATTTTCAACAGTTTCCAATAATTCATGCTGTAAAATATCAAGATACATTTCCTTATTCATGTTTCCAACTATTCTTCGAATAGGTCCCAATCCATAAGCCGTCATACACCCCCATAGTTTAATATTGCCTCCCCCATGTTTTACTGTCTGAATAAAATCTTTTTGGGTTAATGGTTCACCTTCTCTTTTCCAGCTCCATTGGTTTTAGTTTCATCTGACCAAATAACTTTCTTCCAATCATCTTCGGTAAAGTTTTCATATTTTTTTACAAAGTTTAATCTTGCTTTGATATTTTTTTTACTAAGTAATGGTTTTTTCTTCTTTTCATTTGCTCGAAATTTACTTTTTATGAGATCTCGCTGCACTGTCCACCTGCTCACATTTTTTCCTGTATCGCGTTGCAAAAGTTTAGCTGCATGATATGTCGATTTTGCTTCTCCAGTAGTCAAATATCTGATTACTCTTCTACTGTCTACCGCACTCAGCTTCTTTGGTCGACCGCCAACATTTTTTTTCAGAATATGTCCACATTTTTTTCTAATTCGTTGCACAGTACTTTGACTAACTTTTAATTTAGAAGCAATTTTACGAGTTGTATTTCCTTCTTCGATCATCTTTTTTATTAAATTGCTCTCTGTCTTTGAAATTCTCATTTTATTAAAAAACTATCAAAAGCAATAAATTTAAACAATAAAATTTATGAAAACAGAAAATTATTTTAGATATAAATATAGTCAATTTATTTGCACTCAAAATTATAAAATTAATTTGATAAAAATAATAAAGATATTGCCTTCATCAAGTATGGTGCAAAACTGAGTCAAAAGATGTTTGTCACTAGATAAAAATACTTGTGAATTGGGGTAAAAGGAGGAGGCGTAAAAAGTCATAAAAATTAGCACTTTACTACTGTAATAATCCAGACAGCGCTAATATATCAAAAACAAAATAAACCATAATTTTGTATTTTTTTAAAAACTCTGGTTCAGTTTTGCACCATACTGTATATATATATATATATATATATATATATATATATATATATATATATATATATATATATATATATATATATATATATATATATATATATATATATATATATATATATATATATATATATATATATATATATATATATATATACTTAAATATAATTAACATATTTTTATCTTTAAAAGAAAAATGGCTTTGCGCGAAGTTTGGGCACATGCTGTTCTTGGTCATCACCAACATGTTGTACAATACTATTCTGCTTGGGCAGAAGATCATCATATGTTAATTCAAAATGAGTTTTGTAATGGTAAAAGTTATATATTTCAGACATTTTATAATGTGAAAAAAAAACTTCATTTTTTTTAAAGTTTATTAAAGTAATACTTTAGTTATTAACTTGAGTAATTTCTCAATTTTAGTTATTTGATTGAACTTGATCTTGAGTTATTGAATTTTAACTTGTTCTTTACCAGTGACTTTCATGACAGTGAATGATTAATAATATTATATTTTAAATAGCAGACATAATGAAATTTTTAAATTGCCCAGGTTAACTTAAAAATGACCATCCTGCCAGCGCCTTTTTGTGCGCTGACATTAAATTTCAAACGGACAAGACTGTCATGTATGTATTATTTTATCATTTATACATATTACTTTGTAATAAAATGCAATTAAACACATAATAGAATTATGTTATTAATTTAATTGTTGCAAGAAATTTTATCATCCATTTTAACAAAGACTAATCTAACAAAGAATGGCATGCATAAATAGAAAAATAAATTTAAAAAAAGAAATAAAAAAAGGAAGCAAAAATTTATTGATTTAAAAATTTATTGAGGCTTTTTTAAGGAATAGGTGAAATAAGTTTTTATTTTGTATAAGCTTTGATGACTAATAAAAACTAATGTCGAACTTTTGTTATAAAACTGATATAAAACTGTTAACCAGTTCTATATCTTGAATAACTTCCTTTCCTCCATTACCAGGTTTGTATATGATTGATTTTGTCAGGAAAAAATGTTATATAACACAACTAACAGTGTAGGGGTATATTTGCAACTTTTTTGCTATAGGATTGTAGCTTCTATGCTTTTCAAAATATTTTTTCTAACATCCTCTGCAGTTGTCATTTTTAAAACTTATTTTAAGTTAAATGGGAAAACTAAAAAGTTTTATGAAATCATTACATGTTGCCAATAAAATATAAACAGAAAAAAAAAATTGTTTATGCAACCACTGAAACGGTGCATTGTCTCTTATTTATTTCATGTACATGCTTTATAAAATTGTAGCATTTTTTTTTTTTTTAAATACCTTTTATCCTACCACAGAGCAATTTATTTACAATGCTATTTGATAGTATTGCAAAGAAATTGCATTACTATTTGATAGTATTGAAAAGAAATTGTTCTGTGGTAGGATAAAAAATTTTAAATAAAGATGTTATAAATTTTAATAGTATTAAGTATTTTTTTCATATTTTTTAAACATTTTATAATTCAGTATATTATGATTCATATTTTTTTAAGTATTTTATAATTCAGTATTACTTTAGTGTGTTAATGTGATGTCATGCAACCAAGAAAATAATTTTAAAAAAGTAATGCCATAACTTAATATAACAATATTTATCTGTTATATTGAAATATAACATAAAAATTGCTTCTAGAAGCTTATATGAAATGTCACAAAAAATTTTTTTTTTTTTCAAAAACTTTTATATTTCAAGGTGATTCTTTCATTTTAAATATTTTTTATTTTGTCTTTTCATTTAAAATTGAAAATGCAAAATACAAATCTTACATAAGTATAATTAATTTATTTTTATTTTGAGGTGGAAATTTAAATGAAAAAATTATGCAAAATCGGTTAGAAAAAGTCCTTATGGAAATTGTTGACCTCAAGCAACTTATACTGCAGCTTTGTAAAGTGAGTTAACAAATTTAACAAGTTCAATAAATATGCTTATAGTTACATAAATATGATATATATATATATATATATATATATATATATATATATATATATATATATATATATATATATATATATGTATATATATATGTATATATATATGTATATATATATGTATATATATATATATATATATATATATATATATATATATATATATATATATATATATATATATATATATATATATATATATATATATATATATATATGATATATATATGATATATATATATATATATATATATATATATATATATATATATATATATATATATATATATAATAAGTAATTTTTTATTTAGTCAAGAAATTTAATTAATTTATATATTTTATGATATTGTTGTACAAAATTAAATGTTTTCTAAATATGATGAGTTAAGAATGAACCACTCTTTCTAAAACTTTTGATCTTTGTAAAATAGAAATATGTTGCATGCTGTTACTAAGAAATGAATAATATATGTAATCTGTGGAAAGTATGGGGGATCATACAACCTAGCTGCTTTAATTTTATTCAAAGATTTTGTTTTGCAATAAAATGTCTGGAAATATGCATAATTTTAAATTTATTTTTATTTTTAAAACTATATAATTTATTCTTTCTCCATACAAGATCGTAAAACTTGTAAGTGAAATATTTTAGATTGTATAATAGGGTATGTCATACTAAAAAATTTTTGAAAATTACATTTGGGGAATATTTTTATTATGTGTTGGGGTAAATTAAGCAATATTCAACCAAAAAAAATTTTATTTTTTTATTTTTTGTGTAAAAACTAACTTGAAAAATGTAAAAAAGCAAATGTCATCAAATGACAAAAAATTAACAAAACTTTTCTAATGTCTTCTAAATTTTTAATTATCCAATTTTTAATAAGTCCATTTGTTTTTGTAATCTTTGAATTATAGAATACAGTTACTTTGTACTTGTTATTTGCTTTGCGTTAGTAGTTAATTTCATAGTGTATATTTAAATATCAAAAAGTTACAATATTTGTTGAATTTTATTTGTGGTTTTTCATTATAATTGTTTTCATTTTACAGTAAGAAATAAATAAAATAGAATACTGTTATATGGAGAGTTTAAAATTGAAACAAACTAGACATTCTTCTACAACTAATTTAACTAAGTATCTTGGAGTAGGAAAAGATTGGTTGAAAACTGAAGTTCCTAGACTGAGAGATGTACTACATATTCAGAAAAGTTTGCTTCTTTCTAATGATCTTGATAGATGAGTTTTTTTGAAACAATATAAACGATATAATAGAATTTTAAAGGGGAACAGGACGTTTAATAACAGAACATCCAATAGACATCTGGACACCCGCTGGGTGTTCAGATGTCTAATAGATGTTCAATGGGCGTCCAAAGATTTGACAGTTCAAGTATTTCAAACGACAATGTTAATACAGTTTAAATTGTATGTTTTTTTTAAGAGATGTTATCTACCTGTAAAAGAAATCTCAGAGGTATTGGCAGACTAGGTATTGCAACAATGGTCTCAATTCAATGCTTTGTTTGAGACCCCTGTTGTCATATCTCAAAATACGCTATCAGATAAAATTTTAACTGCCTGGCATAAGTTTAGAGACATTTCTAATCAAAAAGAAATGAAAGTAAAAACTGTCAAATTGTGGGAAGGTAAGCTGGACAAATTGTTAGAATAAAATATAGGTGTAACATTTTACTTTGTGCAGATCGAAATTCTCCTTTTAAGGAGGTTAAAAATTGTTCTGCAGGAGTTCATATTTTATGCATTTGTTCTATAGCTCAAGTTGCCACAACTTGATTTATTATGGCTCAAAGAGATAAGGTTGATGAAAAATCAGACTACCAAATATATCAACTAGACAAGGAAGAAACAGAAAGATAGGTTAAAGCAGTGAAACGTAAAATAACAGATATTGTATCTTTAGAAAGAAAAAAAATTGGATTAAAAAACCTCACTTTAATACACAGGCAAAGTTTATAAATCAGTGGGATATGACTTAGATCAAGAAACTTCATCTGAAAAAATTAAAAATGCAAATGAAGAATCCTCAGAAGACAGCTCCAATAATATCAAACAAAAAACTTACCTATTTATTACCATTAAATAAAACTACATGAAGATGCCTAATACAGTACTAGCATCTCTTCAAGTCGACATATCTCCTGCTGCTACATCTGCAATTGTTTCTGCTTTCCTTCAAGATTTGATCAAATCAAATTACTTGACTCCAAAAATGGCTAGTTTAGCATGTGATCTAAAAAGATTTTGAGAGCCAGACAAGAGGTTATGGCTAAAACTAGAGTTTTGTCAAAAAAACTAATTATTGAAGCTCCTATCAAAGGTATATTTGTAGACGGAAGAAAAGATCCGACTCTAATTTTGATTGAAGATTCAATTACTAAAGCATTTCGTTGAAGAAAAGAAAAGCAAAAGAACATAAGTGTTACTTCTGAACCAGATGGAAGCTATTAGACCCATTACACACCTTAAAAGTTTCCAAACAAATCATCTAAAGAGGCTGCAATCAGTCTTTATATCTGGATGGTTCCTAGAGGAATTGATCAAACTATAATTGCAATTGGATCAGATTCTACAAATTCAATGACTGGATCTGGTAACCATGGCGGATTATTAACTCACCTGGAGAAACTTATTGGAAGAAAATGTTTTTGGTCAATTTGCATGTTACATACCAATGAGTTACTTTTAAGACACCTTATTATGCAAATCTTGATGGACCTACAACCTCCAAGGATGGATTTATAGGGTCTATAGGCAAACTATTATCAAAAGTAAATCAATTAAAACGAATTGGAAAAATTGAACCAATTAGACAGATTGAACCTTTGAATCAAATTCCAGATGACATTTTAAAAATGTCAACTGACGCTTCACTAAGCTACAAGTTAGTTTTCAACTGACGCTTCACTAAGCTATCAGTTATCTTAAACTCTTCACTTGTCAACAGAAAATGTGGTAATCTTTGCGATTGCAGGTGGCTCACAACTGGTCAAGCAATTCTTTGGCTTTAGGGGAGATTCAGAGCAAGGTGATGTAAGTGTAAGATACCAAAAATAAACCTACACTTAACTTTGATGCTATGACTCTCCTTGAACTCATTGACTGGAGTAACGAACAAATCTTGGAACCAGATTTTACATGTAATATAACAAAAAATTTTGCAAAAAGTAATAGATTCTTCTATGGAAGTACCTTACTACCCTTTCCACACCCAGTTTTGTGAAAGAGTTGTTAAACAAGTGACTGAAGCAGCAGCTGTTCGTGGTTTTCAGAGACCTGATGGTTTTATTAGAGCAAGAATAGAGTACAGAGATATTGTTCCAAATCTGAAATCCAAGAAAGATTTAATCAAACTGTTTAGTTGATGTTCAAGCTTGATTTTAGTAAAACTTCTATTTTCCATAAAAACATGTTTGTTGTTTTAACATTTTATGTAATTATAATACATTTGGACAAATCCATGTGCGTCCACAGAACATTTTGATGTTTCACATATAACAGTTTTGGGAAATTTATCTGCAGGTTTTAAATTTTAATACTTTTTTAGAGTTTAACATCCTCACTCATGAGAGCAAATGAACTAAAAAGCATGAGCAAATTATTTTGGTGTTTTTATTTCCAGATTTTTTTGGTGCCATTTTTTCACCTTCAGGATTCTGGTCGGCATTTGGAAATGCCGACCTAACTGCCAACCTGAAAGAGTTTGAGGTCGGTAAAAAATTGCCAACCTCTGTTCTATGTTTTATGGTCAGACCTTTGTATCAAATAATTTTTGCAGACCTAATGCCAACCTCAAAAATATTGAGGTCGGCAAATTATTACCTCATTTTTCCTAATTCTGAGGGTTGATATATATATATATATATATATGTATATATATATATATATATATATATATATATATATATATATATATATATATATATATATATATATATATATATATATATATATATGCATTTACTTTTTTGTCTGGTAAAAGAATTAACAACCATTTGTAATAAAAATTAATTATCTACTATTTTCATTTTAATGTTATTTATTTAAATGTCGCATATTTCAAGTTCATTTTTACCCAAAAAAAAAAAAATTTCAATGTTGCATAGAAATACCTACCACATAATAAAATCACTCCCCAATTTTTTTTTTTTTTTTTAATTTAAAAGTTTTTAAAAGTATGACGTACCCTATTGTATAACATGTTACAAAATAAATTAGTAAAAATCGTTGTGAAATTCTGACCTTTTTTTTTAGTGGAAATAGAACTGCATTTGTATTAGACAATAGATTTAATTAATAGAAAGTATGAAAGTAAAGCTAAGAAACAATTATCTGTTACGCATTGCACAAAAACCTAAAATTATTAATTATATATCCTGTTATTAAGATATTGGATGACTGGTCTCAAACACATACTGAAATATTTTTAGGGTGCAGTTTATTTTTTAAAATTTAACATTTAAACATTTGTAAAAAAAAAATGGGCTGACTGGGGCCTGTGGCAGCTATATTATTTCTTATTCTGAAAAAACTTGAATCCTCTAGTCATTTGTCTCACAATTATTATAATCTTTAATTTATTCCTTTTGCTCTTTTCCACCCACCAAAAAGTTTTACACACAAATTTATATTAAAATAATATTTATAAATTTCTATTTCTTTATTAAGTTTGTTTATATTATGCAATTTAAAAATTTTGTTTTTTAAAAAATTTTGTTGATAAAGAGTTGTTTTATTCTACTTTTTTTTTTAGTCAAGAATTTTTTTTTTTAGTCAACAATTATTAAATAATCTGTCGCTGTTGTCAAATTGTTTGCAGTTGAAGCATTTTTTCAATATAGCTTTTTTCCAAGCTATTGCTTAACAGTGGTTGAGCAATAGCTTGGAAAAGGCATTGCATTGTCATTGAGGCATTGACAAATGATTAACTGCTTTCGATATCGCTATTAATGACAAGCTTTGCATACATTTTTTGAGCATGTGATAATAAAATTAAGGTCTTCTTTCTTTGTTACTATTTTCGATGTTCAAGATTTTGTTTGAGGTTTTATTAACTCTAATTCAAATCTGGATAAATCTGAAATTTTTTTCAGTATATAACATGTATCATATTTGAACAATAATATTTTCAATCATTACATAAGTATAGTCTGCATTTTATAAGAAAATTTGATTTCATCGTCACAATTAAACATTTTGATAAACATAAAGTCATTCTGTCTGAGATTGATTGTTGATTTATAAAGTGAATAATTCAATTGTACTTTTTATTCTTTTAACTTCAATATTTAAAGAATCTTGTTTCAACCTTTTTCAGTCTTCGAAATTTTTTAAGCTTTATATTTCTTTTTACCACCATTCAGATCATGCAACACTTGATTCAGATCTCTTATTTATTAAATCTGATGCCTTCTATAAAAAGTAGGCATGCAAATATATTTAAAACAAATATAAAAATATAAAATATTTACACTTCAAATATGTATATGTATCTTTTATGCTTTTATGTATATATACCTTGACAAATATGTTTAATATCTTTTATGTATTTACAAATATGTAAAAAAATTTTATTGTAATTGGATGAATAAGCAACAGTTTTCTGTTTTTTTACAAATGTTTTAAATTTTTAAATAAGCTTTAAAATGTTTATAGCAAAACTATAAACTTAAGTTGTCACAGCGGTAGTTTTGTGTGTATATCAAAAGTGATTTAATTTCCAAATGCATAACATCATCTCATGTGAATAAAACTTGTGCTTATGACATCATTGTGGATAATATATGTATTATTTGTTGTTATAATGTATTCCATATTACCTGGTTTTTAAATACTACTATAGTATTGGTTTTGAATTTTTAAATATTACATTGCATATTTATTTTAGGGACTAAAATATATACACTCTCTAAACCTTGCACACATGGATATAAAACCTGGTAATTTCTCAATTTTATTTTGGTTAATATTTTTTTTTTTAGTTTAAAGTAAATATAACTTACACCCATATAATATTGATATATATATATATATATATATATATATATATATATATATATATATATATATATATATATATATATATATATATATATATATATATATATATATATTGGTTTTATCATGTGTTAGATGAAGATGGAGAGGTTAAGGCCATTGCTCTTGACATTTCTAAAGCTTTTCATAAAGTTTGGGATGCTGGTCTCCATAAGCTTTCTTCTTACGGTGTATCTGGTAACATTTTTAAGATTATTGAATCCTTTCTTTCCTATTGTAGTATAAAAGTTGTCCTCAATGGACGGCATTCTTCTTCTTATTCTGTAACTTCAAGGGTTCCTCTAGGTTCAATCTTTACCTTACCTTTACTCTTTTAATTTACATTAACGATCTTCCAGGTATTTTCACATCTAAGGTGGCATTTTTTGCTGATGATACTATCATTCTTGTCATGATAAGAAGCCAACACTCTCTGACTCTCTGATCTCACTTCTGCTACAGCATGGGGCTCACAGTGGCTGGTGTACTTTAATTCAGATAAAACTCATTTTTTTTCAGCCAATTGTTATTGCAATAATTTTGACCTTCCTTTATTTATGAGCGGTAATGTACTCGATAAGTCATCTACCCTTCATCTTCTAGGGTTAACTCTTACTTCTGATCTTTCTTGGAAATCATATATCAAATTTGTTGCAGAATTAGCATCTGCTAAGGTTGCATCTCTTTATCAACACTTTCTTACTCCGGATTCTATTCTTTATCTCTACAAATCTTAAAATCAGCCTTGAATGGAATACTGTTATCATATCTGGGGTGGATTTTCTAATGATGCTCTTTCTCTTATAGACAAGATGCAAAAATGCTTTGTAAACATAGTTGGACCTGTTCTTTCAGAAGCTTTCAACAATTATCACATTGTTGTAGTGTTGCTTCTCTTTCTCTTTTCTATAAATACTATAATGGACGCTGCTCTAAAGAGCTAGCGTCTCTTGTGCCATCTACTAAAATTCATTCTTGTGTTACTCGTCATTCAATTAAGTCTCATCCTTTTTCTGTGAAGTTCTACTTTTGTCTTAATTTTGGATTGATATTCATGTTGCATTTATTATATTTTAAATTTATCATATCATACATTTTTTTTTAATTATAATTTTAAATTGAGTTACTTTAAATAAATATAGAATACCTAAATATTTAAAAAGATTTCAGAATTTTATATATTACATATAACAGTTATTATTTAACTTAAATTAGTAATAAATTATTTAGGAAATGTTTTTATTTGTCATGTTCAAAGAAAAACTATTGATGAAAGTAATAGTGATGATGGTTATTATGGAGATCACACTGAGTTAAAGAAATCTCCATATGATACTGTTTATAAAATAGGTATTAATGATTGAATTATCAACATACAATATTATAAGAATAAAGTGTTTCAATTAGTGTGAAGGGTATAGTTTTATAATTTACTTTTTAATGTAGAAAATCTATAGTGTCCCCCATGCGCTAGTATAGTTATCCCATTTATCCTATTATGTGCTCCTCCTCTTATTTAACCTATTGTGTGCTCCTCCACATATTTAACCTATTGTGTTCTCCTCCACATATTGGACCATATTTGAATGATACAATAAATTTTTTGTTTTTTTTTAGTTTACCAAATAATTTATTATTTAAAAATTACTGTGATTTAAGGTGATCTTGGCCATGTTGTATCTCTAAATAAAAATCAAAAAATTGAAGAGGGTGATTGTAGATTTTTACCTATTGAAGTTCTACAAGAGGTCAGTATTCGGTTTTATTAAATGATGTCATTGATTTACTCGTTTTGTCAATAATAATTATAAAAAAGTTTATTAAACACAAAGTAAAAGTTTATTAAACACAAAATAAACATAAAATATTAGTTATTATAAAAGTAACATTCACAATATGAATATAAGTAGCAATATGAAAGCAGAACAAACAAGCAAGATATAAAATTTTTATCAATCAAGTTAAACAACATAAGTACTCAAGGAATATTAATTTATTAAACATTCTAGTACACAAAAGATATTTTAATATTGTAATTAAAAATTTTAAACATATATAATGTTAAATTTATGTTTTAAATTTATTATGCTTTAAATATCAAAATTTGTTAATTAATATGGATCTTTGACGTATCGTTAAATAAATACAAAATTATCTTACAGTTATATATCTAACATATAGTTAAATAACGTAACTATATCATTAGTTATTTTAAATAGCTAATAATAAAGTTAATTTATATGTTCTGTGATATATAAGGATATAATAAATAGTTATATAATATAGCTAACAATAAAGGTAATTTATAAGTAATGTATAAAAATGTAATAAAACTATAATTCTTTAATGTATAAAAATATAATAAATATCTATATAATATAGGTAATAATAAAATTAGATATAATATATCTAATAACAAAATGCCATATAAAATAGCTAATAATGACATTAGATATAATATAGCTACTAATAAAATTAGAAATAATATAGGTGTAGTAGCAATTATTCAATTTTGTTTTTATTATAACTTTCTACTGTTTTTTTTTTTTTTTTTCACTTTTTAATTTTCTATAGGATTATTCCAATCTTACCAAAGCTGATATCTTTGCGTTAGGACTTACTATTTTCTTAGCGGTAATATTTTTTACTTTTTTATTATTTGTTTATTTTGATTTTGATGTTTTGCAATAAATGTTTTTTTAAAAAGATTGTAGAAAAAGGTAATCTGTACTCTCAGGTAATTTGGTAAAATCTTTATGAATCAGGTTTTAATTGAATATGGTCTAGTCCAACGTCTAAATAAATCCACTGCACTGTTCAGCAATAAAAAAGAAAGTCAAAAATATTGTTTTTTGGATTTTTATAGAATCAAAGGCACATTCCGTAAATTGATCAATGGCTTCCATAATTCCGTAAATTGATCATACACATTCCGTAAATTGATCAATGGCTAAAATATTTCTCACTCAGACTCTCCTGCAGCTTGCAGTCTAGACAACATTCTTGCTAAAAAGTTTTTTATCAGCTCTCTGGAATTTTCTCACTTTATTGTGTATTCCTAATATGCAGATTTTTCTATCTTCTGTTGTTTTCTTGCTTTTTAAATTTTTTCTACCTTCTTTGTGACCAGTGGCTGTTTGCATCATTCTTTCAATTGATTTTGTATGAATATAAAAAAGTTATTGTTGTCTATGTATATGTTACCCATGTTTACCCTTTTTTTTTTGAGAATAAAAAAAATTATAGTTAAAACAAATTTGTTTGTTTATTTGTGAAATACATATTTGTTAAAAAAAATTATTTTTAAAAAATGTTGGTGCTCACAAAACTAAAAGTTTTGTAAGCACCATTAAGACATATAATACAAATTCAAAAAATTCATAATCAATATTTTTAGATGTATAAGTAAGTTATCATGTAATATTTTTAGATGTATAAGTTATCATGTAATATTTAAAGAATGCTTTATTTATAGCTAAAAAATACTTTATATTTTGAATTTTCTTAAAGGCTGGAGGAGATGATTTACCCAAAAATGGTCCAAAATGGCAAGTTATTCGGTATTATTTTATATCGCACATTTGGTACTGTAAATTTATGTAAAAAAAATTTATTATTAAGAATTTTTATTTCCCTTTTTAATTAGTAATATTGGCCTTCCTAACCTTGAAAATCGTCCAAAGGAACTAAACAGTCTACTTCAGGTATCATTAATAATTGTTTTGTGGCATGTTAATAAAATAATTTGAGGTCAAAAAAATCCATAATTTGTATTTAAAGGTTGGAATATATATATATATATATATATGTATATATATATATATATATATATATATATATATATATATATATATATATATATATATAATATATATATAATATATATATATATATATATATATATATATATATATATATATATATATATATATATATATATATATATATATATATATATAATATATATATATAATATATATATATAATATATATATATAATATATATATATATATAATATATATATATATAATATATATATATATAATATATATATATATAATATATATATATATAATATATATATATATAATATATATATATATAATATATATATATATAATATATATATATATATGCATTTAAAGGTTGGAATATATATATATATATATATATATATATATATATATATATATATATATATATATATATATATATATATATATATATATATATATATATATATATATAACCCTCGAAATTACGAAAAATTGTCAGCAATAATTTGCCGACCTCAATCTTTTTGACTTTGGCTTCAGGTTGGCAGAAACTATTTGATACAAAGGTCTAACCATAAAACACAGAATCGAGGTCGGCAAATTATTGCTGTATATATATATATATATATATATATATATATATATATATATATATATATATATATATATATATATATATATATATATATATATATATATATATATATATATATATATATGTATGTATATATATGTATAACTTTTTGCAGCTGATATTATTTTTTATGCTTTTGATAGTAAATAATAAGTACAAAAAAAAGGCTGCCCTGCATTCTAATTTAAGCATGGGCGTTACCGCAATGCGATTATGTAGTAAATTTCGATACCAATTTTTAGAAAAGGAATTGCAGGCGATTATTTACGATTGTGGTATTTAGATAATTGCAAAGCAATTTTTCCATTAAGATTTTGATTAGTCTAATTAAAATGCGACTTTTTTCCATTTACGAGCACAAAAATCGCAGCAATTACAATTAAATCACATTTATATTATAATTTTTGCAACATACTGCAATTTTATCAAAAAATCACTATTTGTTTCAAAGATCGCTATCATCGTCTAATATTTCCATAAACTATTGAAATCCAATTTAGCAATTAAATGTTATACTTATTGTTATTTTTACAATTACTACAAAACTTGCAAAAAATCCAAGTTACTAATTCAAAAAAGTAAGAACAGGACTTTGTTTCATTTATTATTACAAAAAAAAAAAATAACCAAAATTTATTTTAATATATTTTATGAAGAGGAAGATGTCTGTAATCTAGATTTTCTACTAGATGCAGAAGTCCTGACGAGTCTAGAATTTAATTTGTAGATGTGGGTGTATCAATTTCAAAACTGATTTCATCTATTAACTCACAGGATGGGTTACAACAAGAGTTTATTATTTTTATTGTTTTAGTTTTTTTTTGTGCTTGTAAAAAGCTTTGATTCAATTGATGCCGTGTTCTTTTGGACTTACTCTTAAAGGCTGGTTTTGAAGTTGATGGTTGAGGCAAGGAATCAAGCAGAGAGACTGTATACATGTTGCATAAAAATCTTTTCTACCATTGGTTCTTTCAATTGATTGATGATTTTTTGTGAAGTGTTGAAAGTTTAGGTTCACCACTTTGAATTTTTATAATTTATTAGAGATTAACTTAACAAATATATTTTAACTTGCTATTACAAAAACTATTTGTCGTAAATCCGACAAACCGCAAAAATAGTAGAAATTTTTTTTTTTTTAATTCCTGCTGTGATAAATTGCAAAGCGATTTTTATAGAGCGAATCGCCAGGCAATATATTGTATGTCGATTTTTATCTAAAAAATTGCATGCGATTCAATGCGATTTTGTATCGCTTTTTATCGCATAATCGAAAAAAATCCCTTTTGTGTTAACCGTCAATGCCATAACGCCAGTGCTTACTCTAATTTAGCATAAATGAAACAGTTATTTAAACAGAAAAATGCTGTTTAACAAATGCTAAAAGGCCTCATCTAATTAGTTGGCATAGCTGTATACCTGTGCTACATTAATTTTATGCCAAATATGATTAACACTGGATCTTCTTGAATTTAATCATGGGTTTTTACTTGTGCCTCCTATATAGTGACTACTTTCTGTTATCTCCTAATGAGAGTACAACTCTGAACCTCAATTTAATGGTTCTAGAACACCATAGTTCAGAGAGGCTGACTTTAGCAACAGCTGTAAAATATCAAAGGATTAACAGTACCAATTTGCACATGGATGGTGTCCCTGTTGAAGTTGAAAAGAGTCCTATGTTACAAAATTGAGTTACAAATTAGCAGGACTGGAGCAACTACATAACATTGCTTACGGTGCAATGCACCCTATGAGTGAGTGAGCTATGCACCCTATGAGTAATTGAGTGTAATAATTTAAAACATGACTATAGTATTTAAAAATATTAAACATAAAAACCATTAACACCAAATTTTATAGTTTTCTCTGACTCTCCTTGATTCAAGTAGGTGTGGAAGCTTTTATTCTTTTTTGCCGGTTTTCAGTCAAGTCTCTTCTTTTCCAAAATGAATAAGCGCCTGTTTATTACACCTGGAACACAAGTACCTGTTTATTATTGAAAGAACTTGATGCAAAAAAGTATTGTCTAATATTATGGTCCAGGCTACTGAATTTTTTGTTAGAACTGAAAGACATTTCAAAAATTTTTAACAGTGTCATTAACAAAAAAAAGTCTTACATCTGTACATGGGTCTTCTTATTATTAACTATTTGTGAAGAAGTTTTAATTTGTGTTGTCTCTTGAATTTAATGAACTACTCTATTCCTGTCATCCCAAAGTAATAGTTTATTCCACTGATACACATCTAAATCACTCCTACTTCCATTACTTAGGTTATTTCTCATTTATACTTTTCTACCCCTTGTGATCCTGACAGCATTCTTGTGACAATACTACAAATGTTAAAATGTCTTCAATACTCTCTAAACTTTTAAAGCTCAACTGAATCTTGTTTTCTTGTCTGCTGGAATTTAGTATCTGGTTCTAATTTTAAAAAAAACTCTGGAAATAGTTCTAATATCCCAGTTCTATTATTATTATTAGCAAAGTATGTTTTATCTTTAACTAACAAACTTCAAATATCTTTAAATATCCTGCTACTAACAATTTACTCTCTCACAATCAACACAGAATTTGATCCACTTGTTCTACTGTTGACTTTTTCTACTGTTAACCATTATAAAAAAAGGTTCTATCATGCATTAGATAGAAGCAAGGAAGGCAGCATTAATTGGTAATAGTGAAGGACTTCTACTTCCCTGCTTCCATTAAAGATTTTGATAAAGTCTGGCATTCTAGTCTTCTCTATAAGCTCTCTTCATGCAGTGAAAACTTTTAAAATTATTGAATTATTTCTTCATACAGTGTATTTACGAAAGTTTTTAAAATTATTGAATTATTTCTTTCTAATTGCAATATTAAAGTTGTCTATGACTGACAACACTCTCATTCTTTTCAAATTACTTCTGGGGTACCACAAGGCATGATTTTGGGTCCTGATTTTATTTTTAATCTATATTAATGATTTTTTTCATTTCTGGCTCTTTTGCAGATGACGCAACTATATACTCACTATGACACATCTCTCTTCTGTAACAACTTGGGACTTGCAGTGACTGGTGAATTTTAACCCGTAAACAGCTCAGTTGTTCGCTGCTAATAGTTATTGCAGTATTGTTGATGTTCCCATATTGATAAATGCAGAGATGTAGTCAAGGCGGTAAAGGTCAAGATCAAGACTAAGACATTTCGGCTCAAGACCAAGACTTGAGACTTCAAGACCAAGACATCAAAAAGTCAACCCAAGACTCAGACCAAAGCTTTTTACAAAACCAAGATTAAGACTTGGGTTCTTAGAAGTTCAACAAAATAAGACTCATGGTCAAACATATATGAATACTTTTAGGCTTTTTGCTGATGTATCATTTTACCATTTATACATATTGCTCTATAATAAAAATTTACATGTATAATTATGTTATCGCAATTTGTGCAGACAATAGATAATTTTGTTAATAACAGGAAACTAGCAAATTTCTTGTATTGTTTAAAACAAAATGTACCAATAAGAAATTAGGCAAGATCATCACATTGTGAAAAGAAGAAAAGCGCACATGTAACAGACATGCAGGTTGTTTGTTTTGTAACTACATTAGCCACATACTATAGTTACAAAAAAATATATTAATATAAGTTAACATATTTTATTTAAGTACTGTATGTACTAGAAGTAAAACAGATAAATCTTGGTAGATTTTTTAATCTTAGTAGATTTATCTAGAGTTCTTAATAAAAGGATGGGGGGTCATTTATTAATTTTGAGAAAAATTTTCCTACCCACCCCAAACTTATTAAGATCCCCCCTCCTCCTCCCCGTTCGTTAACTTTTACTTGTTTTCAGCAAAAACTTTATCTCAAAACCAAAAAAAAATCAGTGAAAATCGACCTTAAAAATTAGAAAGTAATTCTTTTACTCAATGATAAAAACAAAAACAATCAGTGTAAACAGGCTTAAAAAAATGCCAACCTAGTAATTCTCAATATGTTGAAAATGATTTTTTTTTTTTTATTTCTCACCAAAGTAAAAAACTTATACCAACATATTAAATCCTATCGAAACAATGATAAAACAACTGTCAGAAAATGTGCATTTGGCTGCAAGCCACACTATAATTTAAATAGTTTTAAGAGTGTTTTGTAAATAATATTACTTTAAATTTATAAACTTAAATTTAAAAAAAGAATACCCCCACCCCGCTTTTTTATTTTTTTATTAGATCTGGACTAAAATTGCACTTTTACTTGTGTACTTGCACATTCTTGTTCATTATTTTATTTTCATTATCATTTTTATTTGGTTAGCACTAAGCTGGTTTTATTGTCAAAAAATTGTTTTGTTTTTTTTATACTGTGCAAAATTTACCTCAAAATATTGAAAAGCTTTGTCAATTAAAAGTATTTATTTATTAAATGTTTTGGAGATATTTTTATTTTATTATGATGCTTTCATCATTAAAATTAAGGTTTTAGTGATTATAAATAGTTTAAAAATTTTAAAATTGTTTCTTTGTTTTAGCAAATGGTATCTTGCAATGCTTCAGAAAGACCATCTGCTATTGAAATTCTACAGTCATCTTTCCTTGGTTGTTTGACTAAAGTAAGAAAAAACTAACAGCCATTTATATTTTAATATACAAAAACTATTTAATAAAAGTTTTTTATTATTAACTTAATTATTTAAAAGTTGTTTATCATTAACTATCTAATGTCTTGTTATATAAAACATGATACTGCCACAAATGAAAAAATAATTTTTACTGATTAAATTAAACAATTAAAATTAAGTTAAAAATTATAAAAAGTTTACTTCAGTAGATTTGTTGTGCTTTTAGATTTATGTTCTAATAACTGCTTGATACTAAATGGCTTTACAAAGTTGTTCTTAATATAAAGTCTTTCAAAGTCTCTCAAATATTGTTTACATATTTCTTTTGAGGGCTTGGTGATCTTTAATATATATATATATAATTTGTTAGGTATCAAAATTTAAATAAAATTTCAGTCATCACAAGCAGCTAGCCTTTTGTGGAATATGTAATGAACAACAATATGTGACTAATAATACTAACAAATAACAATGCAAAAATAATTTGCACAAATATAAAAACATGCTACTGTTTAGGATACATTGTTTAAAAACATGTTATTTTTCATACATATGTTTATTTTAGGATCAACTTAGAAAAGAGCTCAAAGAAGAAAAGTTTAAAAACCAAATTCTATCTGGGTATATTTTACTTTTGTAAAATTTGTTATGCTTATCTTAGTACGACTATCTGTCAGTAAAATAATGTGTATGTCAATTTTACATATTATTTTGTATACTTATGTTCATATTAATACAAAAATATAATACGTGCAATTTAATACAAATGTAATAAGTGCATATTTTATTTGTATTATTTATATATGAGGAGTGAATTTTTAATACAAATGTAATAATTATACGAATTACATTAATAGGAATTCTCAAAGTTTTTGTTTGGTTATGGTTACCAGCATCATCAATTTGTAAAATTATACAAAAAAAATTTTAATGTTAAAAACAGTTTAAGAGACATCAGCAATTGAATAGCTTCTTTCTTGTTTACGTAAAAATATAAAAAAATGGAGTCCAAAGTTTAGTTTTAACAAACTGCTTGTTATCTGGATTAATTCTGCCATTCAAATGGTAACACCTGTGTAATTCAAGAGCTTTGCACACTTTTCAATCAAATTTTTTGTTTGCACTTAAATTTTTTTTTACATTCTACCACTATTTCTTCCGAGCAAAACATATTATGTGTGGCTACTGCAGACTGGTAAAGTTTCCCCTCGTTTAAACTTTGTAGATGTTGTTAAGTTCAAGTCCTAATATGAAGTCTCACCTACATATCTCATTGAGCATTTGGATTCAATTAAACAAGTTCCAGGTTGACTATTATGTGGCAATTAAGTTTTGTTTTTTGATGTTAGCAATGTCTTTTTAAATTAGGATTTGATTTGAAGACTACTCTATATTTGAATAAGGAAATTAATCTCATCTTGTAAATATAAATTACTGCATAAAGAATAAGCCCTGTGAATATTGCGTTTAAAATCTCGGGGTCATGATTTGAGTGAGATTTAATTTGAATATTTGTAATGGCTTCCTTTCTGTACACTTTAAACTTGTATTTACTTTTGGTGTTATTTATTATGATTAAATCAAGGAAGTTTAAAGTTCTATTTTCGCTTGTAATTTCGATTGTATATTGTATTGCAGGGTATTGTTTGTTTAAGATAAGTAGGAATTGTTCTGCTTCTTGAGTGTCGACATATCTTTTATATGATTTCAGGTCTTTTTTTCAGATTTACTGCTATTGCAATTATGAATGCATTTTTTCTTAATGTAAAAAAGATTCTGCAAGTATGACCATGAATGAAAGACCTATTGGACCAGAATTCTCAAGTTTATGGATTTCGTTAGTTCCAAACAAAATTGTAAACAAAGCTTTATGAGTTGTCTTGTTTCAAATATATAATAAGCTTGGTTGAATATTTGTAGGAATCATTTTTATTTAATTAGTCTATAAGAATTAAAGTGGCTTCCTTTAGTGGAATTGATGAGTACTGGTTTATTATATTAAATGTAACTTGAGCCTTTATTTGTCAATCTCCAATAATTTGCTTTACTAATAAAAAATCAAAAGATTTTTTCAGACATGTTTTATTTTTGTTTAAGACAGGTTGTATTTTCTTTATTAAGTAGTTCGACATTCTATAATTAGGAGTTTAAGCAGGAATCGATAGTTGATATAACTCATAGGATAGGATTTTTCAAGTTTGTGAGCTTTAATTAGACCATACATACAAGGCTGGACTGCATCACTTGGATATATAGTATCATACTCTATTTTTGAAAATCACTATTTTTTTTTAAGTTGTGAGAGATGAGTTTTCATTTTATTAGCATAACTAAAAGTGGGATCTTTATTTAAAACTCTCGTTTGGCCAATTTCTTATAAAGTTTTATCGTGTTCTATTCTTATAAAACCATTATCTTTATTAAATGGATATATATAAATAAGTTTGTTTTCCTTAATTTCCATAAGAGCTTTTCGTTGTTCTCTTGTTAATTTTTGATTTATTTTTTTACCCATTTTAAGTTCTTTTAAAACATTTTTTATTTTTTTCAAAACTTTATTTTATGTTTGTTAATGAAACTAAAAATCTCCAGCAAGTTCCATACTTTACATCTGATTGGACCACTTTAAGTAATTGAAAAGATTCACAGAATGCAAGGTGGGTTTATCAAGTATCTTTATTTATTGTGTTTGTGGATAACAGAGATACTGTAAAGCACTGCCAAAGTTTCCAAAGAGAATATCCAGAAAGTAAAGGTCACGCTTCTTTTTTCTACAATGTGAAATGTATTTCTTTAGTACCTGTTGAAAAAGTTCACAAAAATAAGATCTCTTGTAAAAAAACATTTAAGAATGAATGTTTTCAAACTATCAGATGTCAAAATTACAGCTGGTCTGTTTACTGGACCACATGTAAAAATCAGAAGGTCTTGAAAGCAAAATGAGGATAAGAAAAAGGCTTCGGCTGTATTTAAGCATGTGGTTTCTTATTTTTTGGAAAATGAGAATATTAAAAACTACAAGGAACTGGTTTATGAACTGTTTGACACTTATTGGAAGTTGTGTTGCTGAATTTCACCCAAACATTTGCACTCTCATTTTGACTTTCTCCTCTATCTAAAAGCTGTTAGAACATGGAGAAAGGTTTCATAGTACATCCAGGTAGTATAGAAGTTGTACAAAGGAAAATGAAATAAATGATAGACTGTTAAATCTAGAGTTTAATTTGTGTTGTAGTTTTTCACTCTGTAGTCTGGTCTGTTGTGAAGTCGCGCTTGACTTGAATGTAAATAAATCATAATTCTAGTTACTCTATGTAAATATAAAAAGTTTTTGCATTCTATTAGTAGGATCAGCTGGATTATATTGTATATAGCTTTTTTCCACAATTGTTATACCTTATAAATGTTATACCTTATATTTTCGGAAATTAGAATTAAAATGTGTTAATTTAGCAGTTATTTAATTAAAAAAATTAAAAATTTAGTTTTTAAAGTTATCCTAAGCAAGTTCTCCACTCTTACCTTGTTTTGGAAATATGCTAATACCTTAGTAATACAAAAGCAAGGTATCTAATACATAACTGATCATACCTTTGACTTTTCTGGAATGCTGAAAAGCATGACAAACTGTTTTTAAAAAATGGTAGTGTGGGATGTGGACAACAGTTTTCTTATATAATGGAAAAATATTTAAGTAGTTTTAATTTTACCTAGATTGATGGTAATGTATCTGGATTTTCAATGCACACCATTGTGTGCATCTTTTTTTAATTTTAGTGCTGCAGTGAAGTAAAGAATTGTCACTGTAACAAATACTGTAAATCTTTTCCACAATAGAGCACATTGCTGCTGTCTGTTTTTATAATGAAACACATACGCTGTATATACAATATTTAATTTATTTGCTTCAATGAAATATAGAAACAAGTGCAGATTCAGGGTTTTATTGTATTCAGGTTTGATAATTTTCAGCAATATGCCAAAAAATGTTCAAGAAAGTAGCAAAATTCAGTAACAATATAAGAAATAATGCATCTAACCATTGCAACTCCATTTATGCATTAGGGATTGTTGACAGTATCTGCTAAATCTTTCTCCAATTGTAAGAGATCACTAGGCATGTATTTTAGTATTCCTCTTTGTATCCAGGATCATAATATGATCAAAATTGGTTTTAAGATTTTAATATCAATTTTTTTAATATAAATTTTTTAGTTGAAGACAACTACAACTTATATCTAATAAGATAGATCTTGTTATTTCTCATATTTCTATAAAGTTTGAAATCAGGAGCGATAGGGAAAGTGGAAGAAAGAGATTAAAGATAGTGTAATTTAAAGCTAAATTTTGTTGAGTTTTACCACTAGTCTATTTCCTCGTTGAATGTTAACTTAAAATAGAAGTTTTTTTTTAAAACTGATTCATATTTTCAAAAAATCCATAATAGTTAAGTTTGTCTTTAAACCCTACTAAAGTACTTACAGTTTTTGAAGTTTCAGTTTTCTTCAAATACAATATTTCAAATACTGTATTCGAAGGAAAACTAAAAAAAACAATTTTATGGGCGCCATAAAATTGGCGCCCATGAAATTAACTAAAAACGTTTTTTATTGAAGTTTTGTTAATTTTTTTTTTATAAATTAAATTTTCTAGAAATTTTGTACATTTACATTAGGTTTTTACATGGAGTTTAATTAAAAGAAAATTAAAATTTTAAAATCAATAAAATTTAATTGAAATGTATAAAAATGAAATAAAGTAAATCACAGTTTATTATTGTTTTTATTTTCTTGTTTTTTTAAAGGAAACTAATAGCTGCACAAAAAGCTATCGATTTGAAAGCAGGCAATAAACGAGTTGTTGGAAATAAAGTGACAAGAAGTATGAGTATGAGCGTCATAATTTGATTTTTTTAATTTTTATTTTTTATTTTTTTAATGATCAGATTATGATGAGAATTCTGCTTCCATTTGTAAATATTTATATGAGCTATTCTTTTGAGATGGATGTGCAACGTTATTTTTTGCATATCTTTTGGTATTTTTGTGTTCTGTTAAAGTTCGTTCTAGGAACCGATTCTCTTGCTATAACAAATATATATTTTTAGAGTAACAAATCATAAATGGTCTTATTCAGGAAAACTTTCTTTTCAGATTTATACATTAAAATTTTATCAGTTTATAATATAATAATTAACGATGAGTAAGGTATTTTTTATTCTTATGTTCGCTTGCGAATATTTTTAACTTGAGTAGCTGAACTTTTTCTTTCTTATTTTAAATATTTTAAGATGTAAAGAATTGTACAAAATAAAAATTAAATGTTAATCAGTTTCTTTTTTTGTTCAGAAAAATTATACTATATAAAGTTTTAACTTTAGAAATGTGTTAATTCGATTTTTGATCGGCATATTAGCCATGTCCTAGTCAAAAGGTCCTTTAACTCCCTTAGGATCTTAAAGGACTTCGGAACTATCAAATGACAGGCGCCCATGAAATTGCAACAATAATTCTTTTTTATGTTTGTTTCGATTTATTTTTAATTATGCTTGGCTAAGAGACCGTATGGTTTTATCGTCAATTACCGCTGTAAAAAGATGTTGTTACATTAAAAGAGACGAAATAAAAATTAATGTTTATAAAATTATTTTTAAATTTGTTTGCTAATTTTATATATAGTAGTTGTCGAGAGGAATTGCGTAAAAATTGTTAACTAATTAAATTTAGAAAATTTTAATTGGAATTATTGATAGCGACCTCGGTGAACCATCAAGCAAGCGAATTTTCAGATAAATAATTACAATAAAGCTGTGTTAAGAAAAAAACCTTTGTTGCTGTGTAAGAGAACCAACCAGTACACTACAACAATTTTAAGCAAACCTCTACAATCAGAAAGCATACTTTGTGAAAGGGAGGATCTCTTGTGATATCAATTCTTGTGATATCAATATCTTGTGATATCAATTCTTGTTACACGATAATATTCTATGTGGGCCTCAAACACATGTGAAAATGAATCCTTGCACACTGAGCAACATTGACACTAGATATCTTTAAAGGTCTTCACCAATAACTAGCATCTTTTACAAATATTTTTAAAGCTATTGTGGGCGATGTTAAACAGAGCAAAACATTTTGAAACATTGCAAATGACAGAACAAAATGTAATTTTTAGCTTTTTTGGTCTCAGTTTAAGACTTTTGAAAGAGTTTTTATCCTTGTTTTGAATCAAATCAAATTGAACAGAAAAAAGTAACATTTAGGTTTCAAAGGATGCGCGGATTAATTAATGAATCATCTCTACTTCTCAAAAATATTTAATCAAAGGATTAGTCACCTTGAGTACGGTTAAAGACTTTAGAACTGTAAATTTGACAGCAAACATTTGTAGAAAACTAAGGTTTTTGTTAGAATTCATTTATGTGTTAGAATCTATTGAAAAAAATGTTTTTCTATTGGTAAAGTATCAAAGAAAAAATTTTGAGTGCAGTAAAGCCGTAAAGTTCTTATCACAGAACACAACGGAAGAGCATTTATCTAGAAAGTTTTCTTTCCTTCCAACGACGGTTAAGGTGAGTTTCCACTCATCCGTTTTTTTCACGGGAACGGGAAGGGACGGGAAAAATAATCACGAAGGCATGCGTAGTTTAAGTTTTAATATGTCCGATGGAAAACTACGCATGCTCACGTGATTATTTTTTTCTTTCCTATCCCGTTCCCGTAAAAAAATGGATGAGTGGAAACTCACCTTTAGAGCCGGCATTAAACCTCCTCGTTCTGAGTTACAATTATAAAAAGCTACGTCAAATATAAAATTTATATTCATTTTATCTAAAAACAATAACAAAGGTTAGATAATATACTAACAAATATTTGTTTCCTAATATATCAAGCTTTGTCTGAGTTAATATTTAGATAACAATTTCTTGATTTTTTGTATCTATAAAACATGCATTTTTACTATGTTTAGGTGATTTTCTAGAGAAAATTCCTTGCTCAATTAACATAAAACAAGTAAGAGTTATACTGCCACATCAGGGATTACTAAAACCATACATTTATTTTTATGTAGTCACTTATTTTATGTAGTGGCGAGGACAGGATTGACGGAAAAAAAAGTAAAACAATTAAGTTATTAAACAATAATATAATAATTCATAAATAAATTTAAGCTCTATTATTTATAAAAAATAAAAAATGCGAATTAAAAAATATTTACTGCACATTTATATTACATTAGAGACAATAAATTTTACACAACAATATTTAAATAAAACGAAGGAAATACAAAAGAGAAGAGAAAACCCAATTTACTATGCGAAACATAAATTTTAATTTTGGAACAAAGAGACTGATATTGTTACATTAACTATGCACAAAATATAATACACAACCAGCCATATAATAAAGGCCAGCATTCATCTGATCCTTTAAAAACTAATTGTCTTTTATTAATGATCACATATATAAATAATACCATCTTTCATCAGGTCAATCTCAATTTATGCTAGAGCATCGACAGTTTCTTCAACAAAGTTTAAAAAATAATTTCAACCGTCGAAGACTAAAACTGTTTTTTACTTTTTAATAAATTGAATTGAATCAAAAGTGATTAAGTTTTAAAAAATTGTGAAAACAGCAATTGTCAAACAAAAATTACTGCCAATTTTATGCCATATAAAGTAACACTTCATAAATGTAGTAAAAATTCTTCTTAAACAACGTTTTTATTTCACTCATCCACAGTAAATAAGTTTTTAAAACTTCTGAAATGTATAAAAATATTAAATGAGCAATAAATATAATTAAGCAAAATATATGAGTTGTTAATTGTTAGCGATTCATATATTCTGCTTAATTATATTTATTGCTCATTTAATATTTTTATACATTTCAAAAGTTTGAACTAGAATTTAATTTTCCATGGTAATGTTATTTTTTATTAAAACAAATTATTGCCATTATCTTTGAATTATTGCTCTGAGATATTTTTAAAAACTTCAATGTTTTTTTTTTTTATTGATTTCTACTAAATAACTAAAAGTTAAGTTAAGTTTTAAAATTATATTCATTGATTTCCAAAACGTTATTTAAATTGCAAAACTTCAATATTTTTGATTACATTTTACAGTATGATAATAAGAGTGCTCGAAGTGAAATTCGTGCTATTTTAAAAACATGAAAGAAAAACAATGCCTTTTTAACTGTGTTTTTTCAGAAATAAAATATTTTAAATTACAGAATTTTTTTTTCTAAATGTAAAATATTTTTACAATTTTTATGTCTTCTTGATGGCCGCAATGTCTGATTTCGAAAGCTATTAACCCGGGTTAATTTCTGGGTAGCTGGTTATAGGTCAACTCAAACTTTCATCCCTTAGGGTTCGATAAATGAGGACACAATTATTGGTTCACATAATTTTTCAATGAGGGGGTTCCCAAATTGTGTTGTGCCTATACAGTCCGTGTTGTTCTAAATCAGGGTCTGGGTGAAAGCATGTATAAGCTCAATTTGGTTTGAAGTGCTCCAAAGTTGTGCACTTTATAATAAATGAATTTAATAAAAATGAATAAACTGCCGAGCGATGGATCAAGGAGTTTTTGTGTAGCTAAAGACTCTGCCACTTCCACCAAGCATACTACAAACACTCTAATATGAAATATTATATATACTTATAATTTATGAACCAAAAATTTTTTATGAATATCTAATCTAAAAACAAGACATTTAAAATTATTTACTTTCAAGAATATCATTCTAATCCTAATATTCTTTTCTTTCTATCCAAAATTATCAAATCGTGTGTTTCTTTCTATCCAAAAGTATCAAATTGTTTATTTGTCTAAAATCACACACAAGTTACCCTACCTCTTTCAATCTGTAATTTCTTTACTTCTTTAAAAAATTCTCAATATTATTTTTCATCATTTAGCAACCTTAAATTATATATTCTAAATCATTGTTCAGTTAAGTACAGCATAACAAATCGCATCACAAACCAATGCATAAAATCATGAAATAGTTTATCATTTTTTATTCATAGAATAATTTGTTTTTTATATTCACTTTATATCACTAAACTTTATTACTAAAACTCATCTTTATGTCTTTTTATTTTGGAGAAATGTAATTACTGTTCGTAAAATGTTACGCTCTTTGTGGGTTATTATTATTGCTTTTGGTATGATTATATGTAATATAAATATCAACATTATTTTACTTCTTTTCATATCACTGTTACTTATTGTTATTGTTTAATATTAAATTTAATATTTGTCAATATTATTATTACTATTATTATTGCTATTATTATATTAATATAAATATAATTGTTAACATTGCTTACCTCGTTATAATTGTTTTAATATTGTTATTGCTATTACTATATAATTGTTTTTTACTTAAGATTAGTATTAGTATTATTTCTAAATATCCATGTGTATGTTGCATACATACACGTATATGACATATATGGGTGTGTTTTCTTTTAAGCAATTGCAAGTTTCCAAATACATGCAAAGTAAAGTAAGTAAAGAAAACAATACTTTTCAATTAGTAAATTTAGTATTGTAAATTAATTTTATTTTTTACATTTTTTATCCTTATTTTAATTGATCTAAGTATAGAGTTTTAATTTATTAACCTGGGTAATTAAATTTCCAGTTGAAAGAGTCGATAGAGTTGCAGCATTTTTAGAGAAATATCAATGTTTCTCAAATGTGCTATTAGTAAGATTTTTTTTTTTTCATTTGTGATTTCATGTATTTATTGGATAAAATGTAATAGTGTTTCAAAATCACAAATCTTTTTTTAAGTGAGAAGGTATTTTTAAAACTGCCATGTCCTCTAATGGGTTATTCTATAAGTTTTCTCTGCTTTATAAAGTTTTATGCTTTTTTTATTATTATTATTATTTAATTCAGATTGTTGGAGGCATAGCTCATGTATTAAAGTCTTCTATCACAGTTGACTCCGCAAAAATGAAGACATTGATACACTTTTGCATTATGGAATACACAAGTTGGCAGTTCCTTGCCCACTGCCACCCAAATACAGGTAAGTATGCATGCATACACAACCCTCAAAATTAGTAAAACTAAAAAGAGTAATAAATTTTCGACCTTAAACTGTTTTAGGTTGGCATCAGATTACAATCGGCAAACATAAAGCCATTTTTACAAAGGTTTTACTAAAAAAGTTTAAAATGAGGTCAGCAAAAAATTGCCAACCTCAGGCATTTTTATGTTTTTGCTTGGTTAGGGTTAGAGTTAGGTACAATAATGTATTGAAATCAATTAATAATTAAATAAGGAATGTGTTTTTAGATAGTAAAGTTAAACACTTAATAAAGTACTTGTTGCAATTACTTTCAAAAGACTAAAACTGGACATATTGTTTTAGAAAAAGCTGTAAGTTTATATATATATATATATATATATATATATATATATATATATATATATATATATATATATATATATATATATATATATATATATATATATATATATATATATATATATATATATATATATATATATATATATAAACTTTGAGTTTGTAAAATTTATTTTCACATTTAAAAAATCTTTAACAGACGACATACAAAAAGGCTTTCAGGTCATTTAAAAATCACTAAAAGGGAGAACCATCGTTACTATGGAGACGATGTGATTATTATGTGTGTCAAAAGATTATTTTATGAAGTTTTTCATTTTCTGAATTCGTGATGGAACTTATTAGAATACACTTGTCATGGACATGGGAGGAGTATTGCCGCTACAAGCATGAACAATAATAAAACATTCTAAAGAACAATTTGTTATTTCAACGATTAGATTTGTTGTTTAAATGTATAAATGATTTTTGAATATTCTTATTATATATCATCCTAATTTCAAAATAATGTTTCATTTTTTCCATAGAAAAAGTACTTTTGTAATATTGTTTTATAGTTCAGGAGATATATTATTGAAACAAAAAAATAGAATCTTATTTTAAATAAAAATAACCTTGAACCAAGTAAAAAATGATTTTTTTTAAGGAATATAAATTCTTGAAACAAGAAAAAAATACAGAATTTTAAAAATATAAGTTCTTGAAATAAGAAAAATCTTATTTTAAGAATATAAACTGTTGAAACAAGAAAAAGTTCTTGTTTTAAGAATAAAAATTCTTAAAACAAGAAAAAAAGTTTTTATATTAAGAATAAAAATTCTTAAAGCAAGAAAAAAAATTCTTATATTAAGAATAAAAGTACTTGAAACAAGGAAAAAATTCTTGTTTCAAGAATAAAAATTCTTGAAACGAGAAAAAAAAAAAATTTAACAAAAAAAGTTCTTAAAACAAACAAACAAAAAAAATCTTGTTTTAAGAATAAAAATTCTTGAAACAAGAAAAAATATTCTTACGTGGCGGACAAATTATTTTTTTCTTGTTTTAAGACTTTTTTTTGCTTAAAACAAGAATTTTGGACTTTGCTGTGTTTTATTATACTTTTATTGACACTATCCCATGCAATGTTAGCGTAATTAATATGGCGATGAATAAATGAAAAATATAATTGAATTAAAGTATGCTTATTTAAGAAACTTCTAAATTTGTATAATATTCCTATTGTTCTAGTAATTTTGTTATTTAGATTTTCAACGTGATTTTATCATTTAAGATTTTAATCAGTACAAAATGCCTAAAAATTTTTTAAATTTTTGTTCGCTTTATTTCAATATTGTCAACAAAAATAAGAGGAATTAATTTTTCTTTTTTTGAAGTTGGGTAAAAAAGCATTCATTTAGTTTTTTCTATTAATCGATTGTTTGTTTGATTTAAATCAGTCAGAAATTTTAATAAGCTTAGTGTTCACATTGGTAACTAATGTTGTAAGGTCATTGCTAGTTAAAAAAAGATTAGTATCATCAAAAAACATAACTGCCATTAGGTTTGAGGCTTTGTAAAGATCATTGGTACATATTAAGAAAAGTAATGGGCCTAGTATTGAGCTTTGTGGCACTCCACAAGTTCTAACAAGTTTGACGATAATTATGAGTCTATTTGTATAAACTGTTTACGATTAGTTAAATAGTTCTTTAGTAATAATAAAGTATTTCTAGTGATTCCATAATGTTCTAATTTGTTATAAAGAATTTCATTATCTATAGTATCATAAGCTTTTGATAGATCTATAAAAATACCTGTTTATTGCGATGTTTCAAATGAATCAGCAATATTTCTTGTTTGTTGAAGTACTGCATGTTCAACAGAACTATTTTTTTTAAATCCATATTGGTTATTATATAATTTTTTTTTTTCTGAAAAGTGATTATAAATTTTATTATATAATATTCTTTCTAGAATTTTTGAAAAAACTGGGAGAACTGAAATTGGGCGATAATGACTGAGGTTAGTATGTTCCCCTCCTTTGAAAATTAGGGTAACTCTAGCTATTTTAAGTTGGTCAGGAAATACTGCTTGGTTTATTGAGCACGAAAAGACCCTAAAGAAAATATTTTTAATTATGTCATATGCACCAATAATAAAAATCAAATTTTTTTTGAATTGATTGAGTTACTCAAAATAGGGATGTCTTTCGCTAAATTTGGTCCAACTGATACAAAGAACTTGTTTATTTTGTTTACTATTACGTTAGGGTTATACTAAAGTTCAGCATTAGTTTTAATTGCTTTTGGCAAAGAGCATGTTTACATAGCATAATTAAGAGTCTTAGGTTCTCCTTGTCTGATAAAAGTGCGCACAATATTTTTTAATTTACTGTAAACTTAGTGACCTAATTATTGATATTAAAAGCAGTTGGAAGCAGCGATTCTTCTAGTTGAATTTAAAAAATAGCGACAACATGCACAACAGATAATAATTTATTTTGAAAATTAACGACAACAAGACGGACAAGACGAAGAATGATTTATCCTTCCTTAGTAATTTTTAACCAGTTGAAAATTCATCTTCACCTAATAAGAAAGCTATAACTGGTGATTTGGCTTGACAAAAATGTAGTTTTTTCATAAAGTTACATTTAGGGTTTTCAGTTCGAAGGTTTGAGCTTACGCCATTTTTAAAAAAATTCAATTTTGAACATGTGTGTGTGTGTGTTTGTGTGTGTGTGTGTGTGTGTTTGTGTGTGTGCGTGTGTGTGTGTGTGTGTGTGTGTGTGTGTGTGTGTGTGTGTGTGTGTGTGTGTACATTCAAAACGGAATAATAAAAAGCGATATAGGCGACTTTCTGATTTTTATAAAAAAGGAAAAAAAAAACAAAGTACTAATGGAAATAAAAAGGTAGATAACTAAATTTAAAATTAATGGATTAAGAAATTATTGACTCAAAGTAAATTGGAAACAACTAATTGCAAAGATACTAATAAAGCCTATGAATTTTTTTGCAACGAGTTCTTTAATGCGTACGACAAAGCATTTCCCATGAAGGAAATCAAAATCAAACTTAAAAGTCTACAAAGTCCATGGATTACGAAATGATTTATTAAATCTTCTAAGAAAAAACAAAAACTATATGAAATATACATATAAAAAAAACTTATCAAAACAAAAAAAAATTAAAATTTACAAAAATCTGTTTAAAAACGTAAAAAAAATAAGCTAAAAAAAATTATTTCTCAAATTTATTACAAGATGATATCGGAAATAACAAATAAACTTGGGATATAATAAAGGAAGTGATAGGAAAAGAAAAGAAACCTTGTGGTAGTAGTTTACCGAAATAATTATATACTGAGGGTGAAAGAACAACAACAAATGAGAAAAAAATATATTGTAGACAGTTTTAATAACTTTTTTATAAACGTGGGTAAGAGCCTAGCAAACAAAATAACTCCAGGAAAAAAAAGATTTTAAATTATCTAAAACTGAGTAATGGATGAGCGTCTGATGAACTTCGGTTTGCTTTTAATATGATAAAACCAAACACAAGCGCAGGTCTTGTTCGTATAAACCCTAGAGTTGCTAATGAAAATTTTGATGTTATTGAATACCCCTGAAAAGTTTAAGCAGATAACTTATTATTCTTATTCTTTCATTTAAAAATAAAGTTTTTCTCTTCTCTTAATAGTAGCTAGTAGTGGTTGCAATATTTAAAGATGATGATATCTCAAAGTTATCTCTTATTATATTATTATATTTCAATACTCCCATGTTTTTCTAAAATTCTAAAACGATTAATGTATTATTGGCTTTACAACTCACAAAGCTCAAAGTAGTAATCAGTACGGATTTAGAAAAGGGCACTCAACAGAGCATGCAGTATTTAAAATAGTTAAAGAAGTTTTAAATGGGTTTGAAAACAACCAATATACTTTTGGAGTGTTTATTGACCTTTCAAAAGCCTTTGATACTTTGGACCTTATGATACTGTGAATATTCTTCTGTATAAACTTAAAAGTTATAGTCAAAAATAAAAATTTTAAATAGATTTGTTTCTATTTTAAAAATCGCAAACAATATGTATCTTATGACAAAACCTACACTAAATTAGAAAACATTACCTGCGGAATTCCACATAGATCTATTCTTCACCCTTACGACAATTGGTTTATTTAGAAAATCGAAAAAGGTTTCACAAAAAACCCAAAGGTTTTATAACATATCCAAAAAATGATTTGGTTTTGCGCAAGAGAAAATGAAATAAATTGGTTTTCCAACAATTCAAATTTGAAAAATTATTGGTTTTTTTAGAAGATTGACGCGTGATTTTTATTTATTTTGGTTTTCCAGAAATTCTCTATCATCATTAAATTTGAATGGTTCTTTACGTTCAGCTTCCATATTAGTTTTAAACAGGCGCGCAAGTTCATCTCTGTTATTTTTTAGTGACTTAAAGAATTGGAATTGGTGTGTTCTATTTTTAATTTCACTCTCGATTATTTTATTAAATTAATGGCATCAAATATCTTTTGACCTGTAAGTATTTGTTTTTTTATATAAAATATATCTTTATCAAACGTTTTTGTTTTCAAAATTATTGCTTAGCAAAGCTAAGCAATAATTTTATATATCAATATGAAATATTGCTAGTAGCAATATATCATACATGATATATTGCTAAGCAATAATTTTGTAAACCTAGTAGTAAAATTATTACTATTAATTATGCATAATTTATAATAATACTATTACTGTAATAGTAAATAGCAATATATCATGTATGGTATATTGCTGTTAGCAATATATTATATTAGATATATAAAATTATAACTACTGCTTAGCAAAGCTAAGCAATAATTCTGAAAATAAAAACGTTTGATAGAGATAAATTTTTAAAATGATTTTATATAAAAATAACAAATACTTACAGGTCAAAAGATATTTGATTTTTAATCATAATAACATATTATAGGATTAAAAAATAGTTATAGTATAAATTTTTTAATCATTTAATATATCATTATGATTAAAATTTGTATACTATAACTGTTAGTAATAGTTATAGTAACTATAAATATTATTAAAAGTAAACTTAATAAAACTATGTGTATATATATATATATATATATATATATATATATATATATATATATATATATATATATATATATATATATATATATATATATATATATATATATTCTTATTAACTACAATCCAGGGTGAGAAAACTAATTTGACATTTTTCCTTAGTCACCATGTTGCTATTGCAACGGAGTGCCATTTCCTATGATAAATCTTCTTAACGTTTTGTGTACTTTTATTTGGAACATGTAATAACTTCGTTATTGCTTTACTTTAGAAAATTATTTTTTGAGGGGTTTTCCCCCTTATAAAAAATTCAAATAACAACGCCACGTTCTGAATAAAAATGTGACAAAAGGAAAAAGCGAGGAGAATTTTTTATAACGTAATCTTATGAAGTAATTATCTAGCTTGAAAATTATAAGGTTAATAGGATTTTTATGCTAATTTTTTTTTTTGACTTTTTTTTTTATTACTTCTCCCAAAATTAGTATTATCATTGTTTTGCAGGATCAACTTTTTACATTATAATTTTAAACAGTTTTTTACTCAGTTTAATATCTGCAGAAACTAGAACAGTTAATTTCGATAAAAATAATGGTATATCATTAGAAACTAGTTTACTTTGTCGTAAAAGTCCGTAAATGTCACCAGTTTTTATATTATTACTAAACAAAAAAACAAAAAAATTGTTAGGTAAACAGTGCAATTTGTATTAAATTAAATAACAAACAAAATAACATGTATTCTAGTTTACGAGAAATAAAAGTTGATTTCAAGTAACTACAAAGTCATTATTTCAAACCGTTAAAGAAACCCAAAAGGGGTAGTTAGAAGCAATGTATATAGCTCAAATAGGTTGTATACATATTACATTTACTAGTTCTAGTATTTAATATAGGTTCTCGTATGTTTCCTAAATTATGTTACACTTTTTGTATAAAATAAAAGTATTAAATGTTATTTTATTAACATTTAATACTTTTATTTATTAAATTTTACCTCGTTATTTTCAAAATTTTATGTATTAAATTTTACCTCGTTATTTTCAACCCAGGCTAAAAGTGTATTATAAAGGCTGATCTTTACTTTATATTTTTTCGTAAAGCTTTACAGTTAAATAATTTAAATATATAAACTAATCACGTAAGCTCATAAAACTTTAAAAGTTAGTGTTTATTATAGCTATGCATAAAAAAAAAATTCTCGTCTTTTTTTTTTAATTTTTTTTTCTCATTATACATGAAATCGCAGCTGATTTTTGTGGTTTTAAAAGATACTATTATACTGTTAAATGAGAGTATCACAAATATGTTTTATTATATGGTTTTGAGTATATATATATTTTATATATATATATTTTTAGGTTTTCTCCACCACCTGGCCCACTGAGCAGCTCTAAGATTTTGCAAGGTAGTCTATGTGCTATAGGTGACTATTTTTACAAAGTATGAAGAAAATCTGAGGTGGTGGGTTATATGCCTGTCCCACTTCCTCATGGAATACCCATAAAATCATTAGATTCATACTCATAAGACACCTCATAGATCACCATTATCATTAGATCATCATTAGATCATCATTAGACATCATCATTAGATCATCATTAGACACCTCATAGAAATTGAGCAGTTGTGGCGCAGTGATAGCGCCTCAGAAACAAATGATCCGTGGTTGAAACCCTAACTATGGGTAAGTTTTGCGACACCGGTTTTGGAAGGAGGTGTGAACTTCCGGTTCAGTGCTCTGTGATAAGACCATGAGGACTTTTTGGGGCACCTAAATAAGAGAAAAAAAAGACAAACAACCTTATTATTATCTTTTTTGACCTTAAGTTATGTGAACGAACTACGCAATACTTAGTATGTTGAAATTACGCGTAAAATTATAAACAAAAACTAATACGATAAGCAATTTTAAAGACCTTTTTTGAAAGATGTTAACCACTGATTTCTATAATAATATATAATATAAATCAATTATTATAGAGATCAGTGAATTTTACGTCTGCTAACCGAGATGAGAAAAAAGATAGAGCAGCCGTGGCGCGTTAGTAGCGCGCTTGCCTCAGAAACAAAAGATCCGTGGTTCAAATCCTCTGGGAAAGTTTGGCGACATCGGATAGGAAGGAGGCGTGAAATTCCTACTAAATGCTCATCCTTGGTGCTCTGATAAGACCGTAAAGCCCGTTCTCCATTCAGAACTTTTTGTGCTTTGGAGGAGCGGAAAAGTTCTTTGAGCATGCGCAAAAAGATCTGATTGGAGAACGGGTTTAAAAAAAACTCTTTGCGTATGCTCAAATAACTTTTCCGCTTCCCCAAAGCGCAAAAAGTTCTGAATGGAGAACGGGCTTAAGGACTGTAAGTTCTTCGGGCACCTTAAAAAAAAAATGGCCCCAGAGAACATTTGATTTCGGAGACCGGCAAAAAATTTGTGTACATACAGTGTCTCGCTAGGTTCGAAAATAAAGAAAAAAAACACAACTAAATATACTAAAAATTTAATTCCTTTATTTAAAGAAATTTCAAATTGTTTTTATTTTTGTAAAGAAAAGTGTTATTCTCTTTTCTAACCTTGAAAAATTAGATATTGTTATGTCTTATAAAAAAGATATAATTTAGCTTTTTTTTTTTTTAAAGGTGTATAAATTAAATTAAGTTATAACACTTAAGCTAAATAAAGGTGAATAAAGAATCAAACATTGAACATTTTAAACCAAGTTTTAAAGTTACTTTGTCATCCTTATTATGAATAATAAATATAATGATATAATTAGTTATGAATAGTAAATATAATGATATAATCAGTAACTCGGAGAAATCGTCTAGATGATTTAGACATTTCTTCCATTAGATTCTATTTTTCTATATTTTCCATTTGAAAAAATATCAATTGTTTGCATCAAAACTCAAACAAAATGATTGGGATCAAAATTCGAAGCGACTGATTGCCCCATTTAGCTTTTTTTTTTATCTTAATTGTTATTCCAACAGAATTCAAAATCTCTCAGATTTAAAAGTTTATTTATATAACAATATTATAGAAGTTTAAAATAAAATCTACTTATTTGAACTTTATATGCATACAGAATTGAATTAAAAAATATTTTTTTAGTTTAATTTAGTAAAAAAGGATTTTAATTTTCTTTAAGGAATACCAGAATAATCAAAATCTTCTGCTAATATATGCAGACTCATTAAAAAATTTTTTACCCAATTAGTGTAAGTTTATAAATGGTATAAATTTATCAATTTCTCAAATATATATAAGGTGTAAAGTATAAAATTAAAACTAAAAAATTAATATACTATAAATTATTCCATAATTTTATAATTTATTTGCTGGCAATCATAGAAACAATTTTATTTTTGCTATATTTATGCTAAAAATATAAATGTTTTAGTCTAGTAATTAAAATGATTTGAAATGGCTTTGGCTGACAATGCTGTTGAAACTTCAAAAGACTTAGGAGTTGAAGATGTTTTAGTGGGAACTGAACCTGGTGCAAGGTATCAATTTTATCCCTTTTTTATGAAGCGACCTTTGGCTTAGTTTTAACATAACATAACATGTCTAGTAAAAATCGTAGGTTTTTTTTTTACTGTTTTTGTACTGCATTTATTTAAAAAACCTTAAGCTGATGGTCACCCTGTAAAAAAAGTGACCATCAGCTCACTCTTTAATAGAGTTGTTTTAAACTTTAGTAATTTTTTTTTGTTGCACAAACATTTACACATTTTTGATTATAGTTCTATTAATTGATAAATAGATATATTTATATTTATCTACTCATTGGAATTTAATTGATGAAAATGCATAAACTTTTAAAAATACCTTAAATAATTATAGAAATTTTTACTTCAACAAGCCTCTCCCCAAATTAAGTTTTTTTGATCATCCATAGGTCTGCACTATTTGTTGATAAAGCTTAAAATTAAAAATTTAAATGGTTTTTTGTACAAATATTTGTGGACTTTTTATTTGGACACACATACAAATAATGGCTTCAAAAATAATAATAATAATTAAAGTTTATATATATATATATTAAAATATATTCATTAGGTCTCTATAAACAGCTAAGAAAATTATTGTATTTAAAGCCACAAAAACTTTTTAGGGGGGTGGGGGTACAAACTTGTTTCATAATTTCAGGCATGAGTGCATCAGTAAAGCGTGAAAATTTGTTACTAGGAGGGAACGGAGGGGGAGGGGATATATACACATATATATATATATATATATATATATATATATATATATATATATATATATATATATATATATATATATATATATATATATCAGGGCTCGAATTAATGCAAAAAAATCTAATTGCAAAAAAATTTTTTTTTCTTCCCCCCCCCCCCCCTTTATATCTTGCGCTGCTTTGCAGTAATGGGGGAAGGGGGAGGGGGAGTTGCGTTAGTATATAGTTGTAACTTTTGTACATAATTGTTCTATTTTTAACATATCATCTCTCATATTTAAATATAATCTTATAATTTCCTTGTTTGGCAGAGTTTAAAATAGCGTAATTTACTGTTATTATTTACAACTTAAGTTATAACTTAAAGTTCAAGTTGCAGTTGTAATAAGCAATAACGTTTTTAATACTATTAATATTTTTCTTTAAGTATATTTTTACTTACAATGATACTTAAAAAAGTAAAAGTAAAAAAGTAAGAGAAAAAGCAACATTACATTATCTAAACCACTTTAATTAGTCAAAGAAAACTATTTAATATGTTCATGCTGATGTTAAAACACGTGTTAATTTTAAAAAGTATTTAATTGTTAAAAGCTATAAAACAACATTAAAACAAACTGCAAAGTTGTTATAAAAATATAAAGAGCTTGGATTAATGTAAAACAAATTCGTGACACTGTTTCGTGTTGATTTATACAGTTTATAAAATAAAAGGAAGCAAGTAAATAAAATTGATCTAGTTAATAAACTAAAACAAAACATCATATTTGCGCCTATAGACCTATACGAGTTTATAATCTATAGACCAAATGGGTAAGATCAAAGCAAAAAAACATTAGATACCACGCTTTTTATAAATTATCATTTCCTGATCAAGCGTACTATTAAAAATTTAAGTATAATTATGTTTTTCATTCAAATGGATTTTAAACTGATGTTTTCATTCAAATTTTTTTTGTTCTAATTGTTTTCCAAAAAAAAGTGAAACAAAAAATTTTGTTTAATAAATCGAATTATATTAAGTATAAGAATAGGAAGCAGGAAAAAATCCCCCAAAAAAAGAATTTTTTTTTTTACGTAGCAATTTTCAATAAAATAGTCATTTATTTATCTTAAATAGTTTTATAAAATACTTCTTTTTTCATCAAAATGTAAGGTTATGCGCTATTTCTCGGTTGTTGGTAAAAAATAATAATAAAAAAAAACTCTCTAATTCCTAATATTCTATTTTAAAGCTTTATTTAATATAAAATTTTTATTTTTTTAACTGTAAAACATGCACGGAGTATTGCTACATCGACTATCTTATAACCTGACTCGCAACAGAGTGCTGCTACATCGACTGACAAATAGCCTGACTCGCAACAGAGTGCTGCTACATTGACTGAGGGTTTGGGTTGGGCAGGCAGTCCTTAGAATATACCGCTAAAAGTCCTTAGAATATACCGCTAAATTAACTATGATGGTTCGCAAAAAAGTTCACATTTTACCAGTTCGCAGTTTGTCAGGGTTAGGGTTAGGGTTTCACATTCGCTACCTTCGAGGAATCGCGCATAACTTGACATTTTGATGAAAAATGAAGTATTTTATATAAATATTTAAAATAAGTAAAGAAATAAACATAACTGCATATTGATAATTTTTATGTAAAAAAAATTTTTTTTTTTTGGGGGGATATTTCCCGGGGGTATCTTTTATCGGAGGGGGGGATTTTTTATCAGGGGGATTTTTTCCTAGAACCTAAGAATATGCTTAAATTATTTTTTAAGAAAAAATATTCTTTGAACAAAAGTAAAATAATTTATTAAATTTAATTTAAATTTTTATTTTAACTTATAATTTGCAATCACTGCTTGGATGTTTGTAATAGAATGTTTCTTCTTTTGAAACTATTTTCAAGAAAAAATATATAATTCAAAAAGTTAACAAAATTTACGATTTAATAAAAAAAACTTTCTTCTTCATTCTCCCTTGTTTCATTACACTTTTTTTAAATTAAATTTTTTTTTTAATTTCAAATTTCAATCACAAAATTATTTGAATAAGTAAATTTTAAGTTCTCTTTTTCATATTGATTTCTTTTTAAATAAAATTCCTGAAAACAACTTGCGTATTTGTAGAAAATGTTTAGTCTAGATGTCGCTATAAATAGAATGAAAATATAAAAAAATTGGTGTCGCGTTTTTCATATTCTATTCAATAATTTTTGTTAAAATAATTATTATTTAAAAGCTTATATGTGTTAACAACATGTAAGATCTAAATTGAAACATGTCTATGGCTAACCTTTGCGAGTATATTAAATAATTTAGTATAATTGTTAAATTAATACTTGAGTTACTGTAAGTTACTATCTTAACTTAGCTGGTTGTTTTAATTTACTATGATATGCTCTCTCCATTCAGCAAAGTTAACTAAATATAACTTCAATAGTTTCAAAGTCGTTAAAGGGATCCCAAACTCCCAACACATGTTGTGTTCATATTAAAGATAATGTTAAAAAAAAAGGTTTGAACCAAGTTTTTTTGATTAAAAATAAATAATGAATGCATACCGAGAAAAACTAATATTGTTATTTTAGCCAAAGCTCGCCTTCTCCATTTTTTTGAATAACTCGGAGTCTTTAAATTATACGTCCCAACCTACAGACTTTGGCGATTCCTTTGAAGCGCGTTTAATTCAAAAAAGTTTTAGTATTTAATGTCATGGTAGATTTTTAACAAAAAAAAAGTGTAGTTAAACAAAGCTGCGTTTTTCTACTTTAATTCAAAAAGTACGATGTAGTAATTTTTTAACATACAGCAAAACAACTTTTACAATTATAATAAATGGTTTTTATTTCATAGGAGGAACTTTTTTTTTACCGATATCTTAATAATTTTTAGATTTATATATCTTATAATTCTTTTTTTTTTTTAAATTAAAACAAATATTAAAGCTTTACTTACGAATCTTTTGATTTTCATACGAGTGTTTTACATTATATAGAACGTTATATATACGGTCTCTCGTTTTTGTGCAAGAGAGCGCAGTATTATATATTCTGAATCTTACTTTTTTTTTTTTTCTAATTATCTTCGCTTCCAACAAGGCTGCAATAAACCACTAATTAGTGTTGGAAGTTACTGGAAGAGAAAAGATGAAGATTGTAGAGCAAGATAACGATTGACAGACGACTTGAAAGATTGCAAATTATATGAATCAGGAAAGCAAGATAAAGGAAGCGAATTCCAAAGAACTGATGTTCGAGGAAAAAAACTAGACGAATAAGAGTTTTTGAAGCACTTAAGAACAGTAACAGAAAAAGGATGAGACTTAATTGAATGACGAGTAACACGAGAATGAATTTTAGTAGATGGCATAAGAGACGCTAGCTCTTTAGAGCAGTGCCCATTATAGTATTTGTAGAAAAGAGAAAGAGAAGCAACATTACGACGATGTGACAGAGGTTGAAGGTTGGCTGCAAGAGCAGGTCCAACTATGTTTACAATGCGTTTTTGCACCTTGTCTAAAAGAGAAAGGGCATCATTAGAAGATCCGCCCCAGATATGGCAACAGTATTCCATACAAGGCCAGATTTGAGATTTATAGAAATAGAGAATAGAATCCAGAGTAAGAAAGTGACGAACTCGATAAAGAGAAACAACTTTAGCAGATGCTAATTTTGCAACGGATTTGATATAAGGTTTCCAAGAAAGATCAGAAGTAAGAGTTAATCCTAGAAGATGAAGGGTAGGAGACTCATCGAGTACATAAGCGTTCATAAATATAGGAAGGTCTAAATTATTGCAATAACGATTGGCCAAAAAAAATTGAGTTTTATCTGAATTAAAGTTCACCAGCCACTGTGAGCCTAATGCTGTAGCAGAAGTGAGATCCTTTTCAAGCTCAAATGCCCCCTGCAAGCAATCAAAGGGAGTTGGCTTCTTATCGTGACAAGAATAAATGGTAGTATTATCAGCGAACAATGCCACCTTAGATGTGAGAATATCTGGAAGATCGTTAATGTAAATTAAAAAGAGTATGGGGACAAGGATTGAACCTTGGGGAACCCCTGAGATTACAGAATAAGAAGAAGAGTGCTGTCCATCAAGGACAACTTTTATACTACGATTGGAAAGAAAGGATTCAATAATCTTAAAGATGTTTCCAGATACACCGTAAGAAGAAAGCTGAATTGTTTGCCAAGAACTTTTCATCAATATCATCTCTTGATATTGATGAAAAGTTCTCATAACCTACTTTCTGATCATCAATATGGATTTCGATCTTCTTTTTTTACAGCTGATTTGCTATCAG